GTGAACGTACTTGTGTCTGCAGAGTTAATATTCACCTGCTAACACTGATCGCTGCATCTCTCTCTGCAGCAGTCTTCTTGTTTCCTGCTGCGGCCTTCACACGGATGATTCATGTGGCGCTTTTGTTTTGCCAGACCTGAACGATCAGATAGGTTTTCTCACTTGTTGGTTTTTATCTTCAGAGTGTTTCCATCCACGGTAGCGTAGCCGGGATTGCTTTCATCCTTTGAGTCAGTGTGCGTGAGAGGGTCCAGCATCACTCATGTTGAACCTAAATCTGTTCACACAGTCGCTTGATGAGGACGTGTCCTTCCCCATAACTTAAATCATTCACTTCCAAGGTGGAGACGAGGCAGGGAGGAGTTCTGGTTACGGATAGAGTCACCATCAGATGACAGACTGTGTATGAAGATGGAGGAATCCTCCCTGAAGTCACCTCCAGGTTTTCTAAACGGCGGTTTTAAAGATCCATGTGGTCTCACCAGCCGTCACCATCTTGGCAGATCCTGACTTTTCCTGACTTCTGGTTCATCCAAAAACAAGCCAAGAGGTGAAGTGAGTGGAGCTGAGGTGGACCATGAGCTGTCCTGTGACCCACATGTCCCTCAAAGCAGCATTAATTATGCATCACTGGAAGCCTTCATGTAATTTAAACAGGACTTGTATAAAAATTCATCCCTGTACAGTTCTCATGATGGAAGAAATGGACTCTGGAGACCAGAACCACTTCTGTGCCATGCTGGAAACATGTTTGTTGTTGTTGTAAAGTTGAACATTTTAAACATGGAAGTCTATGGGGATTAACTCACTTTAGGAACCAGCCTCAAGCGGACATTTGAAGAACTGCTGTTACAGTGTTTGAACACTTTGGTAACACACAGCATCGTTTTTTTCTGCTCTTAAAAAAAGTATGAAAGATTATGTCTTCTGATCTGGTATTGCGATTAGGTTTGTTTCATTAAAAGAGAACTTTTCAACATCAGCGTTGATTGGCTGTAACGTCTAACCAATCAGATAGTCCACAGATGGTAAATGGTCTGCACTTAAATAGCACTCTTCATCTCATTCACCCACACATTCACACACCAATGACGACAGAGCTGCCATGCAAGGTGCTGCCTGCCATTGGGAGCAACTTTGGGCTCAGTGTCTTGCCCAAGGACACTGTGGAGGGCAGGAACCACCAACCTTACGATCAGAGAACAACCCGCGCTACCACCTGAGCCACAGAGTGGTCACAACAGATAGAACAAACCAGCCTCATCAGGGTCAAAGTAATACCTTTAAAATAATTTATTTTATTGGGAATTAGTAAAGAAATAATGTCAGAAAATGCTTAATATATAAGATGTGACACAGAAAGCTGACAGCAGGGTTGTTGGAAACCAGTCCAACGAGCATTTCACAGAAGAATGTGGTGGTGAGAACAGTGGTTCGTTGCATGTCTGATAGATTCAAGGCGGTCTGGCAGCGGACAGCACAGTCACAAAATGCATTATATGACTGTACTACACTGCAATGCATGACCTGAGTGTGAGGCGTCTTTTGCAGATGTTCTTAGTGGATGTAAGTATCTCTATATGGAGCTGACGTAATTCATACCAAATTTGCAAAACATTACATTGCATTTATTTTTTATTTGTTGGCTGCAGTGACATTCAGTGACAGTGTTATCATGTTTTTGTTTTTTGTTTTTTTAATTTTCCTGTAACTCTCTAAAGAAAAAGAACCTCTCTAATATTTATATTCTTGAGATCTTCCACACAGAGTAATCATCCTTTAAAACAGGAAGATTTACAGCAACAGGGTGGAAGATGCGTTTACTGGAAACAACTTAGTCTTAGTGTTTTATTAAAGTTATAGTCATGATTCATTTGGACGCTTTAACCGGAGATGAGTCACGATCTGTTTCTACTGCGTCGGTTGCAGTCGAGCACAAGTGTGTACACGTGAAAAAGAAAAACTACTGTAAAGAAGAATGAAAATAGATGATTACACATGCTGCTGTATTGTGGTGCAGCTTGTGGTTTTACGAGCTATTGTTGTGCTCGTTGATCAACGTTCTTTTAAAAACAAACTCTGAAACATAATACACTCCTTGAGTTTCACAGTCCTTCATAAACTGAACAAGAGAAACGACTCGGTGACACGCCGGCACAAGATTGTTGGAAATTCTGTTTTTTTGTTTTTTTTTTTAATAAACAAGAACTCTCATTTTTGAATTCAGTGTAGAAATCTCCATTTATTTATGTTGCACAGGTGCAGCGACTTGCATTTCTTTTTGCAGCAGTCTTCTTGTTTCCAGGTGGGATTTTGGTTGATGCCGTTTTTTTCGTTTTTGCCACATCCGAGCATCAGATAGGTTTTTTTCCCACTCTTTGGTTTTTATCTTTACAGTATTTCCAGCCATGAAAGCTTCTCTGGCATCGCTTTCATCTCGTGAGTCAATGTGCACGAGAAGGCTGGTCCGGAAGCTGTTCACACAGTCTCATTACAGGAACATGGCCGTCCCCATAACTTACTCAAACATTGTTACGAATAACATTTATTTTAATTCTTATTTTTTAATTTAATATCAAATCTCAGTTTCTAAGTGTTATACTGGTGGTTTTATTTGTACAGCGAGGGGGGCAGGTTGGGTTCAGCACGTTCTCAAAAAAAAGTTAAGAAATATTTTCATTTATTAAAACAGTGATGAAGTCAAAATGAGTTTTCACGTTTAAAACTCGGCCTTGGCCCTGGCTATATATTAGATATGTTCACCCCGTATATCCCCACACACAGCCTCAGATCCTCCTGATCGTTCCAAAGTCGAGGCTCAAATCCAAAGGCGCCTTTTCTGTGAGGGTCCCTCGGCTTTGGAACGACCTGCCAGAGGAAATAAGGGTTGCAGATTCAGTAACTTCTTTTAAATCACTTCTTAAAAACCTGCTTTTATAGACTCGTTTTTGAGTGATGTCCTCTTTTAGATTTTCTTTTCCCTTTTATATCAGTGTCACTGCCTGCTGTTCTTCTCCCTTTTCTCTTTCTTAATCTGCTTTTATCTTAATTCCCCTCCGTGATGTCGTCTCTTTAATCAGCTTTACTAGTTTTATTATAGGACACCTTCCAGTAGTGACCCAGCCTGTTCTTTTTTCACTTTTATGTTTTGAGTGTTTGCCTGCACTTTTCATACATGCTGTGCTCCTGTGTTGTCTTGTCTCACTTCATTGTTTTGTAAAAGCACTTTGTGAATTCTGTTCTTAAAGGTGCAATACAAATAAAGTTTATTCTTATTATTGTATCTGTTACATACATAAAACACCACAAATGCAAATCTACATTAGCGTCATGAAGCTACTGTGGACATTACATAGAAATGTAATCAATCTGAATTTTAAAGCACAATCAATGACGGAAAAAAAAACTCTTGAAATCTTGAACAGCAATGAGGCTGCGCTTGAAGTCGGAGGACCAGAAACACCAGAGTAACTGGCAGATGTTGGGAAGGCGAGTGTGAACAGCGCAGGGAGGAGCTACACGATGATGTGAGTAAGCCTGGTGTAAACAAGGCGTGACTGTGGGGAGTACTTATAAGTGCACAGCCAGCATCTGTACGATGTGCTGCATCTGTGAGGATGAGCAGGACGCTCAGCATGTCAACCCAGACAGGTAGGAGAGTTTTCTTACTACACGGCTGCAACTAGAACACAGTGTGGGAGCAGTGCAGTGCAAAATAACTGACAGCGATCTGGCAAAACATGTCAAACTGATGTTGATCTGTAGCAAATGCATACCGTGCTCAGTACAATACAACATAAATACTGTGTTTTTAATTAGTCTATTTCCAGGAGGTTGAAATCTTAAAGCACAGAGTTTGTCAGGAATTTTTAAATTTTGTTGTAAACTTGAAGAATTCAAGCAGGTTTTCTTTAATTTGATCACCGTTCCTTCCCAAAATTGCAGCTCAAAATAATGCTCAGTATGACTTTTCTTGCATGTTGCTCAGCCCAGTTATATCCCTGATCCATGAGCAAAGCAGTGGTCTGACAAAACCTGAGAAAATATGTTTACAGACATTGAATTAAGGAGGAAACCTGCAATAACACTCGCACACAAGATGCTGCCAAAACTAACAGGAACGTATAAGAAGTCTGTGAGTGTAAATGGCATCAGCCGGCTGGAAGATACCACAGCTTTATTGGAATATCTGCTCTGTTTATTCAGTTACTTAAAATAAAAGTCTGTTGCATGTGTTGTTTTTGTAAATCTGCAGGTTTAACCAAATGCCTGATGCTGTCGACAGGAGTGATATTTAAAGCATGAAATATTAATATAATGTTACGTATGATAACTTGCAATAATCACATGTGAAATAAATAAGTCAAAAATCCAATAACTGTCTGGTTGACGTCCCAACACGGGAGCAGTTCAGTTCAGTTTAGGTTGCACACTCTGAGCTTGTGTTTTGAGTTTAATCTATTCAGCAAAAAAAAAAAAAAAGGTACAAAATATAAGTAAAGTTAAACATGAATTTGCTTGATTGCAATGTTTTTTATTCAGCATTTCTACAGATACTTCATACTCTGATTTATTATTTCTTGAATCAGTCATAAAGTCACCACTAAGTTTCATGAATGCCGGCTGTGAGAAATGTTAAAGTTCATTCTTTTTACTGGCTTATAAGAGTGGAGTGGTGTGTTTGCACAGAGCAGCCTGTTAGAGCTGCTTATTATTAGTCAGCATTAAATTTTTCCTCAATCGCAATGAATCACCGGTGTGGTGCAAACCTGGACAAACTTTTCTTGCGTAATAGTGAATCAGATATATTGCAGCTGGTGATGAGGACAAGATATGTACTGTACCACTGAAAATATTTTAGAAACGGAAAACAAGGCTGGCCTACGTGCAAACGAGCTTGACGACTCTTATCTTTAATATTATACTATGTGGGAGTAAAATAAGGTGGAATCAGAAGCATTACTAACAGTAACCTGCAGTACTTTAATTATTCCTTATTTGCATCTTAAACTACATAGTTTGTTTTTATTTTTTTGTCCCTATTTTAGTTAGACGATATTCTGTATGTGCCGTCAGGTTGATTAGTTTTCTTACAAGCTCCACCAGATTTGATGCAGTAGAATTCTGGGGCTGAATAGTTAATCTGAAGTGTGATATGGAAAAGTGCAATGATCAAATCACAGGAGCTGCAGTTTATTTTTTTTGTAAAATGTGCCATTTAAATGAAGTCCTGTGTTGCTGCAGAGACAGACTTTCAATCCTATTTTTAGCTTATGTGCAGTGTTGCTTCATATTAGTCACTGTTCAGCGTGACTTTTGTGCTCAATAGCAATGTGTCATCGGTGTGTTGAAACCCGGAAGAAAATTTGCTTTCTGTGAATCATTCGGTGGAAGCAAATCATGTAAATGGCAGCTATTGATGAGGTATCATCTTTCCTGTTGATATTAGGAATGACACTGAACCAGGCAGTGACCTGCATGAAAACCACTCTGCTGTCTGCACAATGATTGTGTCAGAGCTCAGTGACTCCTTTTATTGTGCAATTCAAACCTGTGTGAGTAAAAGAATGTATTTTTCTCCAGTCGGGAACGTGGCCTCTGTGCCGTTTGAGGAACAGTTCCGGTGCTGCATCTGCCTGGACATCTTCGTCGACCCCGTCTCCATCCCATGTGGACACAACTTCTGCCTGGACTGCATCGAAGGCTTCTGGGACACCAAGGACAAGTCTGAATGTCCGCTGTGCAAAGAGACGTTCATAAACCGTCCAGACCTGAGGATCAATCGAGCCTTTTCTGACATCATTGAGTTCTTTAAAAGGTGTGTGTTATTGTCAACCACCTCAAACTATTTATTGTTTGGAGCCAAATGTGTTGAATTTAAATGATTTAATTCAAATCAATAGGTCGCTCAGGCCGACTCAAGAGGAGGATGTTGAAATCGTACAACCAAACCAGCTGCCCGAGGGTGAGGAGGTTCTCTGCGACGTCTGCCACGGAGACAAGTCCACCTCGGTGAGGTCGTGTCTGGTGTGTCAGGCGTCTTACTGTGAAACCCACTTGGCGCCTCACCAGAGGGATCCAGCGCTGCAGAGACACTGGCTCACGGATCCGGCCACCTTCGCCACCAGTCACCTGTGTCGGAAGCACAACAAGCCGCTGACCATGTTCTGTAAGCAGGACCAGACTCCTGTGTGTGCCAAATGTGCCGAGAGGGACCATAAAAACCACAAGACCGTCCCCATGGAGAAGGAGAGCAGGAGGGTCAAGGTGAGAACTCATCACTTAGTTTGTCTCCTGGTGTATTCGTCAGCTGATTCTATGAAAACTTGACATTTTTTCGACCTTTTTCAGGTGAATTTGAGGGATACAAAATCCAGCATCCAGCAGATGGTGCAGGCCAGACTGAGAAAGATGGAGGAGATCAAGAACTTAGTTGACCAAAGCAAAGTAAGCTCTGTTTTGGTTCAGAGATACATGTACACAAAGATTCATTCTTTCTTTCATTCATTCATGTTTTCGATTGTTTCAATGCACAGAAAATCACAGAGAGGGAGATCCAGAGCAGCTCTCAGGTCTGCACCTCGCTGATCACTGCCATTGAGAGGCAGCAGGCCGAGCTGGTCCAGGAGCTGGAGGAGCGTCAGCAGGAAGCCGAGAGAAGAGCCGAGGAGCTGCTGGATGAGCTGGAGAAGGAAATCATGGACCTGCAGCTGAGGAGCAGCGAGCTGCAGCAGCTGGAGCTCACTCCGAACCCCCTTCACCTCCTACAGGTTCGACAGCTGCTTCAGGTTTCAGTATTTCTGAGCTGCATCATCAGTTTGTAAACTGTACTCATGAGGTTCTTCCATTTTAGAGTTTCCCAGCGCTGAGCCGACTCCCGGCCACCAGAGAGTGGTCTGAGGTGGCCGTGCACTCTGATAACTGCGTGGGCACAGCGAGGAAAGTCGTCTCTAAGCTGGTGGACGTCTGCCAGGAAGTTGCAAACAAAGTGTCGGCAGAAGGTCAGTCACCTTCTGGGAAACAAGCTCCAAAGATTCAACAATAACAATAATGATAATAATAATAATAATAAATGCACCAATATAACTTTGCATAACTCTTTTTGCAGAAGCAGACAAGATGAACCAATATGCAGGTATGTTCCCACATATGGATCTGCAGCTTTTCTTAAGAAAGCAGTTAAACTTCAGTCAGAGGCTTTTATCATCCAACTCATTGTTCTTTGTCTCTTCAGTCGATGTCACTCTGGATCCTGAGACGGCTTCAGGCTGGCTGGTTCTGTCTCCAGATGGAAAGAAGGTATGAAATGAGTGAAACATTAAACGAATCCTTCCTCAGCTGCAGCAGCTGAAATGTCGCATTGACACCTCCTGTTAGTGAGGTGGAAATAATGTGAACGCTACCAACTGATCATCAGCGTTGCTAATGAGCCAAATGTTTGAAGAAGACGCTGATGCTAACAATGACTGAATCGACTCACAGGTGAACGTCAGCGGCCAGAAGACCAGGACCAGACTGCCAGACAATTCCCAACGCTTTGACTCCTGCGTCTGCGTTTTGGGCAAACAAAGCTTCACATCTGGACGACGCTACTGGGTTGTTCAGGTAAACACACTTTCAGCAAATAGTACAACAGCTTTAACCTGGGTACACATAATTAAGCTAAAGTAAGTCTCTCTTGGGACCAAAATCTACTTTTTTTTTTCCAAGCAAAAAATGTGTTCCATTTGAATTCTTGCAACACAAACTGCTGGTCTTAATCAGAAGGGACATGTTTTCAACAGCATACATCAGCTCTCCTTACTGCATGTTCTACTTGGTCTGAATCTGTATCCTGTCTGTTGGTGTTTCAGGTTGGGGATAAAACGGACTGGGATCTCGGCGTGGCCCGGGAGTCCATCAACAGAAAAGGCGCCATCACGGTGCGTCCCGACAGCGGCTACTGGGCCATCTGCCGGAGGAGAGGCGGCCCTCTGAGCGCCTGCGCCGGCCCCTCCATCACCCTCCACCTCCAGGAAACCCCCCAGAAGGTCGGCATCTTCCTGGACTACGAGAAAGGATCGGTGTCCTTCTTTAATGCAGAAGCAAAGACTCACATTTACACGTACAGCGAGTGCTCCTTCACTGAGCCTCTGCATCCGTACTTTAACCCGTGTGTTCCCGACAACCCGAAAAATGTTGCGCCGCTGGTCATCTGTCCTTTTGATGAAAGGGATGGACAGGACAGGACCATTGAGTCCGATTCATGATGTACGAAGACTGACGATGCCAACTGATGCTAGAAACAAATCCTTTTGTTGTTCATGAACAGTTTGACCTCGTTTTGGTTCTCGCTCAACAAGTTTTCGTCTGTGAAACACATGACACACAAGCCTTTACTGCCTCCAAGACAAATAAATGTGGAACGCACTTTTAACAGTTCTTAATTATTCAAATGAATGATTAATGTGTACATAAGTGTATATAAAAAAAATGTACATTGTTGAAAGCAAATGAAATATTTGAAATTCATATTCTGTGAAATAAAAAACCCATATACTTTTTTAAAACTTTGAAGTGTTTTTGTGTTCTTTATTCACAGCAAAGTCATTTCCACACTCTTTTCTGACAGAAATGGAAAATGTGCATCTAAATCTTTGATATTTTTAGCAGCGATGGCGACTCGAGTTTGCTACTCGGACTCGAGTCGCACACAGAGAGACTTCAGACTCATGTTTTGGGACTCGTGAACAATCATTATGTTTTCTTCTTTCCTTTCCTTTCTTTTTCTTGGCGTGTTAACATTGGGGAAACTCTCAAATGTCTGACGAGCTTGATGTCATTCCTTGCTTTTTGGCATGGCTCTGATGAAGAAGAAGTGGACTGCCTAGGTTTCTGGAAGAGGCATGCCAAAGTTTTCTTGTCTTGTGGCCAGAGAGCGCTTACTGTTCCTGCCACCAGTGCACCAGTGGAGAGGCCGTTCAGTCACCGAGGCCTATTAATGCGCCCTCACCGAGCCAGGCTTAGTGCAAGGACATTGTCCAGCTTGATATTTTTGAAATGTCACCATTCTGTTGCCTGATACTTTTCTAGGTCTTTCAGTAGGCCTCTGGAAGACACCTACAAGCCTGTTCATGTTTAGTCAGTGTATTAAGAGGGAAATAAGAACCATTCTGATCTTATTGTAGGTTTAAACAACGCTCTGCAAAACAACACCATTGATTGTTTCCACAGAAAGTCAGTTTCATTAGTAAACAAGTCCAGACAGCCAATAACTCCAATGATTTTCCTTTTTGAGTTTTACTTTTATGCAAGGAATCATTTTTGTCCTGCAAAGAAAGGAGCCTTTAGGAACAAAACTGGTCGTGTTTTCATATCACCAGTTTATAGACTTACAGGATTTTTCAGATAATGTGGCAGCAAAAGTTTTGCTTTTGTTTTTTGTGAACAATTTTTTTTTATTGCAAACGTCACAGAAGTAACATATACAAGTGTTTAAAGTGCTTTTGTTTTGTTTACAAGTTGTTTGCATTTAGCTAAAGTGTGATGCTTTGCACTAATTAGAAGGATGTTAATTAGCTTACAATGCCTTTGACTGGGTGAGGTGGAACATTTTCTGTATTTTTGTTCTTCTTGTGGTCCGACTGAGCTGCACAATAGGGGGCAAGATACATCCTAACTGTATGTTCACGTTGGAAGAACAGTTTCCTTTAAAGGAAATCATTCATTGTGTGTTTTCTTCATATTGCATTGCAGGACCCTGTTTAAAGTGATCATATAACAAACAGCTAATCAGTGCTGATACTTTATGCTCATAGATAAAGGAGGGATAATAATACAGTAGATGCTTTGAATTTCTTAGATAGCTGTGCAGTATTCTTAGTCGCCCGAATAGCAGCAGATGATAGAAAGCTCATTAAAACAAGAAGAGACATGAGAGATTTATTTTTTAGAGACCTGAGACTTGACTTGGACTCGTGACCAAAGACTTGACTAAGTCTCATCCCACAAAGACTTGAGACTTGACTTGGACTTCATCTCTGATTTTCAGTGTGCAGTCACCATAAACTGCACCACAACGTCAACAAATGTGTTCACTGCAGGGACTCATTCTTTCTCAACCTGTCTCTCTTGATGAAACCGTCACATACCTTTCAGCTGCCTGCTACACACCCAGCTCTTGGGTTTCACACGCTTCCTTCTGAAATGTCTTTTGTGTTGCTGCAGTATTTGGTGGTTTCATGTACGTGTTTGGCAGCCATTCGGTCTTGAATGTTTTTTGGCAGAGCAGACAGCCGGACGTTGTTATTTAAATACAACAGTCATGCATTTGGCAGAAACACTGTCCTCCTGCACGTGATTTAATTAGCGCTGGAAAGTACCAAAAGGTAAAATTAAAAACATCTTCCCTCAACGTCGACAGCAGTTAGTATAAAGTGTAAGATTGTAGTTGAAACAAAGAGGCGCTGCAGTGGCTCCTATTCTTCCAGTGACAAGTACTTCACCCAAACTAAACTGTAAAACACAACTGAACAGCCGTTGTATACAGATGTCCTGCTTTCTAACCTCTTGTTGGTTCCTGCAGAAGATATGACACATTTCAGTGAAGAGTGCAAAAAATTGCTCAGAGAAAACCAAAGTTTTTAGGACAAATTCAAGTCTGATGTACATTTTTGTGCCCAACAGTTGGCTCAGAGTTGAGTTGATCAGAGATCTGTTTGTCATAGTAAATATGGAAAATGCACTAAGAAGGAGAACTGCAACCAACTGTCGAATAGCATATTTTGGGCTGTGGACCAACGTAACTAAAGGCTGTAAAAATCACTCATAACACACAGCAATCTTCTTTTTTCTTATTATTTTTACAGCCTGTGCATTTACAGCCACTGTTTTCTGTTGCGTGTCCCAAAGATGGCTTGTGGTAATGTTCACCTGTAACTGACAACGAGGAGCCGGTTGTTTTGCGTTGTTTGGCCTGTTGACTGGTGTATCTATTACACTGTTTGCTTTGAGACTGGGCTCTGACATGACTCATGGTTTCAATCCTCCCAACTTCACAACAGTTTTGCGTGGAGTCAGTGAAGCCTCTCCTTATTCATCCTCCGTTCCTCAGGGTTCAATGCTAGGCCCAGTCTTCTTCCTATTTTTTATTCCCCCTCATCAACCAATGTGTTGGGAAACTAATAGGGAAAAGTCAGAGAATAGAAATACTTCATTAATCCCAAGGGGAAATGTGGCTGCTACAGCACAAAGATAAAGTTACCACCACTATAAATACAGACAAATAAACAAAACTAAACAATAAGAAAATATAAAATGCAAAATGTACAATAAGTGTAATATGTCTGAGTAGAAAAGTCCTGCGTGAGTGTAGTGAAAATAATGTAGAGTACAACAGAAGTGTGCAAAAGGTAGTTTCGGCAACGGAGCCAGATGCTACAAAGCAGAGAGGGCTGAGTGCCAGGGCTGATGTGTTGAACAGGTTGTGAAAATACAGCTCATAATACTGTGTTGGCTGCAAAGACACTGAATGTAATAGAAGTTCATCAAGGTGGACTTGTTGGTAGTCTGACTCAATAAGTGTAGGTCTGCCTTTTCTGGCATCTTTGTCCCTTTTTAGCATCTCCTTTATGGGAAGCAATAAGTTCTGATTGCAAGGTTTTATTAATTTACAATTTCATGTAGCAGACGCTTTTATCCAAAGCGATGTACGTCTGAGAGTAGATCACATTCATACACCAATGGCGCCAGGGATTGAACCAACCTTGTAATTAGAGGACAACCCGCTCTACCGCCTGTGGATTAGTCATGTAATAAGGCCTGTTAGCGTCTTTGGGTGAATTAGCCTTTTTATGTTCCCTCTCCAGGGCTGCAGGGTGGCGCAGTTGGTAGCACTGTTGCCTCGCAGCAAGAAGGTTGTCTGTTCGCATCCCGGTGGGGGCACCGGAATCTTTCTGTGTGTGGAGTCTCCATGTTCTCCCTGTGCAGCGTGGGTTCTCTCCGGGTTCTCCAGCTTCCTCCCACAGTCCAAAAACATGCTGAGGTTAATTGGTGATTCTAAATTGTCCGTAGGTGTGAATGTGAGTGTGCTTGGTTGTCTGTCTCTAAGTGTAGCCCTGTGATAGACTGGTGACCTGTCCAGGGTGTCCCCTGCCTTCACCCTAAGTTGGCTGGGATAGACTCCAGCCCCCCATGACCCTAGTGAGGATTAAGCGGTGTATAGATGCTCACACTTTTTTTCAATTGCACCATCTCTAGATCAGGTGTTAATGGGATATAAGTATCTGGAACTCCTCCTTTGATGAGAGGCAAAACTTCTCAACTCAAGAAAGTCCAGTTGCTGCGATTAATCTACGAGAATAACCATGACCTGGATGACTGAGAAGCTTCATAGACGTCTATCTCTAGATCCTTCTCTTAGCACAGCCCGAGACAATTCTGATTGGTTTCAAAAAACACAACTAAGCAAGAGCATTTATGCCCCTATAGCAGGAGGATATGGTGCAGACAGACCATTCTGAATCTCTGAAAAGGGGTCTGTATATGAGAGACTAGCTTGTAATCATTTATCATCATCACTTCTGCTGGCATCGACACAACATCCAACTGTACGTGCCTCTAAAAGCCAGCAAACCCAGCAGAGTTAAACACTTGGAGCCATGTTAAATGTAGCATTACTCCCCAAAAAACACTTGAATAGGAGGCATGAAATTAAAAACAACTAACAATTTGTCACTCCTATCAGCCATAATGAGATGTCGACTTCCAAAAAAAAACAACAGATTTTTCTATTATCCGTTCAAGGACAAATAGCAGTTAGTGATGACTGCCTTCATTTCCACCATCCTTAGTGTGATATCCGAGGTAAAGCGAGGGAAGGAGGGGAAACGGGGACAGTAGGGGGTCGAGGAGCCGTGAGAACAGAAGGGCAGCAACACTCGTGATGTGATTAAACGTCTGCTCGAACACAGGGGTTCCCTGGAACAGAGAGCGATAGCGAGAGAGACGGGGGAAAGAGAGAAAGCCGAGCACAGATAAAGCTGAAGGTAACGAGGGAACCAGGCTCTTGGGATGATTTAAGTTTACTGAAGCAAGCTGGTTTCTGTATGCTGCTGCAGCAAACGCAGGAAGTGAGAGGTGGGTGATACTTTTAAAGCATGTTCCAGTCTTTATTTTTGTCAAAATGCTTGTACTTTTTAATTGCTGGTAGTGTTGTTGGCGACTGTGGGGATTCAAATAAGGAAAACAGAAATTGTTGCTACGTTTAAAATAAATTTGAAATATATTTTTGCATTTGCTGTAAACGTTGGTGTTCATCGTCCTACATGCTGTTGGATTATTTCAGTCTGTTTTTGTTGCATGTGTGTAAAGGAATGCAAGTGTGCAGGAGAGAGGGATTAAATTGGAAAGGTGCATGAGGTGAAAGAGTGGGAGTGTTTACCCACAGATGGCCTCTCGGTGGTGGGATTGTGATGGTCCACTGTCCCCCCTCCTGAGTCCAGCTGGCAGCGCTCACACGGGCCTCTTCCTGGCCAAAGCATTACCTCATCACTCCTGCTTATTTTGTTCTTCACCACAACCAGTTTTCTATTAATATTCACACTTTTTTTTTTTCACCCCCGCAGTCTTGCTCGAGCCGGGCAGAGCTCTGTGGTGCGCTTTTCATTACATTTACAGCGTCGCAGCGCCGTCGGTTTTTAACTTTGACATGATGCACAGCTCGTCTCCAGTGTTCACCAATTTTAGCAACAAATCTGAGCAATTTGTACCCGTTTCCAGTTTTCTTTTAGTGTTCCTCAAACACACAAAAAGGACGTTTTGTAGACTCTTTATGTGATTTATCAGCCATGTGATTGACTGATGGGCTGTATATGACGAGATAAACACAAGAAGGAAACTAGATGTTTGATTTTAATTAAAACACCCTGATATTCACGTTAAGTTTTATGCTCTTTTGTTTTTTGAAAGATTTTTTTTTTGGGCTTTTCCACTTTTATGATAGGTGACAGTGAAGATAGTCAGAGAAACGTGGGGAGAGTGGGGGAATGACATGCAGCAAATGAGCCGTTGGCTGGAATTGAACTGCGGCCGCTGCTTCGGGGATTATAGCCCCTGTACTTGGGTCGCCCGCCCTACCCGCTGAGCTAACCGGGCGCTCTCTTTTGCACCGTCAATTTAATTTTTAATGGGAGAAGCCAGAAAAATATGCCTACATAGAGCATCCTGTCCATTTGTATGACTGCACACAACATGTAAATAACGTGCGCCAGAGCGAGCATGTATACGTCGACATTTTAAGCTTAATTTGACATGAAATGTGAAACATACGCCAAACTTTGATCACATGTGGAGAGTTTTATGGCAATTTTAATGTGTGTTATGTGATCTGTTGATTCACAGGCCTGCAGCCCTGAAAGGCCCCAAACCAGTTTACATGTTTGTGTCAGCGCCCACTTGGCTGATGTCTGTTCCCGCTTAAGGAGGAACTCGATACCCATACGGTCCACATATGGACTTCTTCTCTGCTGTTATGGGAAGCCGCCATCTTGGTGCCAAATATTAGCGAGAGTCCAACTCCAGCCAGTGTTGGCAGAAGTGTAAGCAGAGGATTACCTGAGTCACTTAATGTCCCCTGAGATGAGAGAAACCCCTGGTTGATGTTTTGTGTCCAGGTGAAAGTATGACCTTGTTGCTAAACTGAGTCCAAGACGACACGTTCTCACAAGTCTTGTTGGCCGTTTTGGAGTAAAAACAAAAAAGCCCAGACACTTTGAGAGTTCATCCTCATTTGGAACTATGTCCAGCCCACCTCTTCAACCTGCACCCTGTCTTGCCCCCCGCTCTGCGTTTTTCGTTGGACTGCTGCTCCTCGTCCTCTGGGGGCCCTCAGAGGTCAGATGCCAGAATGACACGGAGCCGATCGTGTTGGAGGGAAAGTGTCTGGTGGTTTGTGACTCCACGCCGTCGGCAGAGCCATCGGGTAACGCTCTGGGCATGTCAGTGAGGTCAGGAACTGGTCGAGTGGCCTTTTCAGCCATCCGCAACACCAACCATGAACCCTCGGAGATGAGCAACCGCACCATGACCATCTACTTTGACCAGGTGGGTTCCAGCAGTGTGTCTATCTACGATCTTTTCTATACATTATTGCTTTCGTTTCATATCCTCAACTAGTTTCATTTCTCCAAAACTGATACCTACCTTCACAGAGCAAATCTGGCAAGGATCTACATTCCACCCCTCCTACTGGCTTGGATTAGCATTTGCTTTATTTGATGCTTTGACAGACCGTAACAAAAGGAATGAGCATTCCTACAACAGCGAAAAGAATTTCATTTTCATAAGAGTCCAACCAAAACATTACACCCATAACCTCTCAGTCAATAACCTCAGCCATAAATCTGCTGCTATAGCAGCCTCCAGTCAGTCCGGTTTTCCAGCTGTCTGCACAAATCTTCTGCCATCCAGACCCACATGCATTGTTTAGGTCCAACACTGACACTGAGCGATAAGATTTGATCCACGGTTGCTATCAGGTGCATATGTACGTCAGTCAAGTTCTCAAATACCTTGACTTTTTGCACAGATGCATTGGGATACTTACAGATTCACATTGTCTAACATGAAAGTGGAAGTCATAGTGTTGCGTTAAAACAACAGGGCCGTACTTGCGTAAGTAGCAAACACAAAAGCAGGACAATGCACCTATTGTCTTTGCTGTGTGCTTCTGCAGCCATAAAGGTTTATATAACCAGACTACGTGAGGCTGTGCAACGGCAGCGCATCACTGTGCATCTGTCACGTGTTGATGTTCAGCAGGTGTAATGTTTAACTTATTTAGCACCTCCAGATTGAGTAATTAGCAATAAACACAATAAAGTCAATAGATTAGCAGGTATTTTACCAAAACAGTCGGGTCATTTATTGGTTCTGTTACACTTCATCCCCTCAACTTTATTCCTGCTGCTGTTTCCCTTTTAAACAAGTCTTAGTGCACTTTACTTCTGGGTCTATCTTATTATTTATTTCTACTTAACGGAAGCCCGACCTGCTTTACTTATTTATTGTCTCCTTGTATCATGCTTTAAACAGGTTTTTTATATTTGCATTTAAGAGGTTCTTTTATTTTATTTCACTTTTAATCTTGAACCGATCACCTTGAACCAGAACACCACATGAGATCTCTAAGGTCCTAAATAGGGAAAGTGAGAACTACACCCTCACAATGGGGATAACGAAGGGTAAAAAAAAAAGGTTTTCTGCAAGGTGCAAGAGGGATTTGTCCCAACTACCGCCAACTGAACCGATCAAAGGATAGACGTAAACATTATGACCCACAACACAACTTATGTGAGAGTTTTGCAAGGGGCGGTTTGAAAAAAACAAAAACTTAATTCACACATTCAGACACTCAAACTCCCCCAAGAAGGCCAGCTGATGGTGCTGAACCTTCTGATTCCCCCAAACTGAGCTGAGCCTCAAAACCCTCTTTATATAGTCTCCCAGCCAGGCTGATGACCAACAGCTGAGCTCTACTTCACAGGTGCAGCAGATCTACCTGATGAGCAGGTGAGCCGTCACCTGCTGAGCTTTTTGTTAACAGTTCTTCATATCAATCCATACAACTAAACTGCATTCACGATGTAGTTGTGACTGTGACGTTGTAGGAAAGGCTTCCAGTTTGAGCCACAAAGTCCACTTAAGATGGTAGAAAATGGGAAGGAAGGCAAGAGTATTTTAATCAAGTTGACTGAGACTCTATATGAGGCCTTTATTCTGAGACATGAGTTTAATTTCTATGTGGATTGAGTAAAAATACAACCTTTTCACAACATGTTTGAAGCTGCTCCTCTATTTAAATGTATTCCATTGAGTCATTCAGCAGAAAATACATATAAAAAACTGAGAATGCAGTTTCGTTGCGTAGGAATGTCCTTTTTTGTGAGACGGAGCTGGACGGGGACATAAATGTCAGCAGCGAAGGAAACACCAGCTGATTCATACTCCATGCCCTGTTAATGTGTGCACCAAATTCTGTACCAAGCAGATGCTACATTAAAAGGTCAGAAGGTTATTGAAGTCCACAGAGTTGATCCTCCAAAGGGCCATGAATGTCTGTATAGAAGTACATTTGGAGTGGACCACAGCGGGAGACACAGCTTCTACAAAACCAGATTTCCCTCCGCTGTTATCTCCAGCCACTGATCACACTCTGCCATCAGAATCTGCGTTGTTTTTTCACAGCCAACACTATTGTGTTCTGAGATTTTATCAGCATCTGATTTAGAGACGTCACACACTGAAAACTGTTGTCAACCAAGTCACAAACTGTGCTGCATGTGATACTGAGTGAACATGTTGCATAGCAAAGGTACCGTCTTGCAACTTTGTGTTACTGGTAGTTTATCACGTCTGACTTGTTCCCTCCCTTCCTCCCTTCTTGTTTGTCTTTCTCCACTGAGGGTGAGCACATCGAACAGTTTTGACAAAACATACAAAAACTTGGGTGTGATGATAAGAAATGAACACAGCTGTGGCTCAACAAGTGTCAATAAAGCTCCAAGGATTCATGATGTTTTGGTCAGATTCTCCAGTTTCTAGCTGTTGGACTCAGAGCCTCGTTGAATTTCTTCTTCTTTCTCCTCATCTCATTTTCTTCTCAGATCTTAGTGAACGTTGGCAGCCACTTCGATCCAGCGAGGAGCATCTTTGTGGCTCCCAGAAAAGGAGTGTACAGCTTCAGCTTTCATGTCGTCAAAGTTTACAACCGACAGACAATACAAGTAAGAACGGCAGCTTAAAAGAATAGGAGGTACAGCTTTTTGCTTTCTGGAGGAGCGTTAGATCGGAGGATTATTACTGCTTTCCAGTTCGTATGTTGGCGATCAGTATTGCCAAGCATGGAGCCTGTACGCATGGGGACCAGCGAGCTTTAACTGCTCTATATTTAGTCAATGCATATAAATCTGTTTAGAAACCACTGAAAAGAAAATACACTGCATCAAATTGAAAAAGTTTATGGTTTTAATCCCAATATCTTCACATCCTTGGATGTATTATTGACAAGAACGTCAAATACAAGCAGTCACGTTTCATAAAAAAATTTTTTTAAAAAAGGCGGTACAATGGAAGTATTGCAGTATTCAGATATTGTACCATGAGAACCGCAGTTCCAATCCTTAACAAAAAATAAGGCACGACTAACTAAAGGAGTGATATATCCATTAATATGGACTTCGTGACACTCACAGCAGCCTGGGTGTTAAATGCTGCTTTATTAGCTGATGTTAGCTAGCGAGCTCGGTTAGCAAGATGCATTCACTGTGATGTTGATTTTCATTAGCAACGAGAAGACTTCAAACTAAACTTATATACTTGACAAAAAAAGTTACGTCTTCGTGTGTCTTTTAGTGAAATTAAGCACATTTGTATGCGACCAAACACAAAAACACCCCACATCAAGCTCACAGCTTTTTAAATGCATACAGTATACCCCTGCTTTATCGCCTATTTTACTATAAATGGTCCCATAATCCACAAAATTCACATTACTATGTGTTGGAGAAGCCTTGAAAATAGCAAATGAAACCATAAACGTATTAGCAAAATGTTAACTGAGGTAGCAAATCAAGTGAGAAGTTCTATGCAGTTTGACTTTTTTTTCCAACCAGAGCAGTTGCCCCCTACTGGCCGTTAGAAAGAATGCAAGCTTGATATCAGGAGACTACATCCATCCTATATACAGCCTGCGGTTTCCCCCTGTTTCCAGCCTTTGTGATAAACTAAGCTAACCAAAGAAGCACTTGGGGTTTACAGCGCAGACATGTATGTGTCTGTAAAAGCTTTTCTAACCTTTCCTTTCCTGGTTCACCTTTCCCCTCTGCTCTATCTCGTCTTTCCCAAGGTGAGTTTGGTTCTCAACGGCTGGCCTGTGATCTCGGCCTTCGCAGGCGACCAGGACGTGACCAGGGAAGCTGCCACCAACGCCGGGCTGGTGATGATGGAGCGAGGGGACAAGGCTTACCTCAAACTGGAGAGAGGGAACCTGATGGGAGGGTGGAAGTACTCCACCTTCTCTGGGTTTCTGGTGTTCCCCTTGTAGGCTCGGTTGATTCAGGATGGTGTTCCTGTCATGGTCACTGCTACGGAGGAGTGGGCAGGGTGGGAAATAAAGATAGTTTTGTTGCTTTGAAGCCCTTGACATAAAGGAGGAGGCATTCACGGGTAAATGCTGATGCTGCGTCCTAATGTGCATCAGATGAATTGGGTGAACTCACTTTGCACCAAATACTCCTGAATGTAATTTCCATTGCACTATTATGGCTTATTGTCTTTTGTCTGACACGTAGATGGTAATGTGTTGTCTGTGCTTGCTTACACCGGGCTTATCAAAGGTTTGTGGTTTTCCTTTAATGCATGAAACACAAAGGAGCAAATGTTTGTGGCAATAAAGAAAATGATCGTGTCTAACGTCCGCACCTACGTATCTGTCTTTATCTGTCTTTGCAGTGTGTCACGCATGTGCTAAAGGAATACAGATCATTTTTTAGCCGAGTTTCTTTCAGGGCAGTGATCCTGAAGCAGGTTTTTGAATGTTTATTCATGATGAAGATCATTTCTGGGAAGTGACAAAATCTAAAGTGTGTTTATTTTTTCTATGTGTTTGTATGTGATTGAATTATGACTCAGAGAAAGAGCGTACAGTCGTGACTCGATAATCCGACACTAAATGTAAAACCTTCTTTTATGTCGGATAGCAAGGCTGTCGGATTGTCAAGACGGAGGTCGAGATACGAGGAGGGCTTGATGCTGGAAGGCTCATTAGTTGTTAATATACATTATTTATAGTTGTTATAGTAACTAGAGCAGGGCTGGACCGAATGGCACTTTCTGCTCTCTGGATATTCAGGCCCAAGTAATGATGAATTTCTGAATATTTGGCATGGACGGGGGGACACTTCCACCCCGGGGCAGCGCTCCGACGGGGTGGAAGTGGTCGGAACGCACAGGCAGTACTTGGCTGCTGATGCCAGTTAAGTTAGTGGTCACACTTCTGTTTCCACCATCCATGTTTACTTCTGTAAACACTGAGCACGCTCGCTGCGTGTGACGTCGTCGTGTCCTCTTCTGCACATGTGGGACACTTTTGGGTCGTATGAAGTTCACACAGCAGATCACATACAAGTCGTATTTATTTGGAAATGTGAACGAACTCACAAAAAAATCGTATTTCACAAAAAATCCTAATTGAGCATCAAGTCCTGTAGTGTGAACGTAGCCAATCTGTGGGATTGTTCAGTCAGATGATACGCCGTTATCCTGATTGGGGACAAAAAATGTCATGTCAGAGTCAGAATCCAAGGCTGTCGCTATGTTAAGGCTGTTTTTATGGGTTCTGTTTGTTTTTCCTAAAAACCTGTCAGATAGCAGGTTTAGGATTGTTCAGGGTCGGATTATCGAGTCACGACTGTACATTGATTAAAATCAGATTTGAAAGTACTGGAAAGCTGTAATCACCACACTTTACTCACGTGTGGTTTTTGAACAGTGTCCATTTGCAAAACTGTGAACGACAAATAGTCTCAAAGCAAATCTCGTACTAGCTTGTTATCTATCCTTATATTCATACGTATTTTTTCGCACAATGCTGCACATTTAGCTTCCTTTAAAATGCAAATGCTCACCACATGTCCTGAGTTAAACTCTGATGCTATTGTGGCCTCCAAACCACCTCTACAACACTTTAAATATGTTCATCAATCACTCTACGCAGACAGAAGGTGGGCCTGAAAATAGTTGGCACCCCTGCTGTTTGCCTCAAGAGGCTAACAGAAGATTTGAACTCAAAGTGTCCATGCACAACTCCTGCTACTTGTCTCACGTGCAGTGCTCTAGCAGAGTCATATAAAAATGCCTTCCAATCAACAAAACGGCAGCTTTGTTGTAAAAACCCTAAACATGTGTGAGTGTGCCGTCCACGCTGACGCATGGTGACCGTGGCGGCGGATCCGGTGGCAGATGGAGGATTGGCAGCAGAGGATGGAACCGGTGCCAGGAGCCTGCTGAGTTCACACTGGACCGTCACAAGCGATTAGTGTCAGCGTCCCGGTGCACAGCAGAGGCCTGTGTTAGCACTTTAGTGAGTCGTGTCTGGAGTACAAAACAATGTTAAGAGTTTGGTTCCAAAAGCCACACAGACGCCGTGTAACAGATTTGGCTTTTCAAAGTCAAAACCTTCACAGAAAATATCAAAAGCACTCGTGTGAAAGTGTTTTAACGTCAGTGGAAGTGAGCTGAACTTATTGCGAGTGAAGTTTTTCCACATGAATTATTGTTCATGTCGACTTTTGCAGCTATAAATATCAAATACTGATCACTCAGTCTGTGCAGTTGGTTAATTAGTCTTTAAAAGGTATTTCTTGTTGTGAGAAAAACTTTTTAAAAAGTGATGCATCACACATGATGATGTGACTCGATGTCAGTGACAGACACCATCACTACAGAGAAAAGCAGGAGCGCCACCTACAGACACTTTAAGTTCATCGACAGACACAACAAGGAAGGTTTCTGCTCACGTTAGATGACTGAACACTAAAATAAAACTCCTAAAACAGGCTCTAAAATAACTCAGAAGTGAATCTTGTGTATGATTTAAAGGGAAAACAATGTTTTCTTTGAACCTGAATACAACCAATTTAATGAAGGAAGCTGAGGGTTTGTGTCTCCAAACCCTGATGTGTGTTTGTTTGCTTAAAGATAAGGGACTCATTCTGGACTTTAATTCTTTATGAAGGTCTTGAAATGAGATGTTTTATAAAGAAAACCAAATCGAGTCTCTCCTTTGAGAAGTACTTTTGCTCAGCTCCACTGAAGCAGTCACAAAAAGACGCCAACTCGGTGCAATCAGGTGAACTGGTTACCAGGCTGCAGCTTCTCCACCAGGTGAGTCCAACCACCTGAATGAGGTGAGAGGAACAAAACAAACCAGCAGGTCCTGAACTGAGACCCACACCCGCCACAGCTTCAAATGCATTTTATCCTGCCAGACATTTGTCAGAACTGATGTCATGATAAACTCTTGATTCTTGAAATGTGTGAAATCAGTTCATTGTTGAATCCAAGTAAACGTCTGAGTCGAATGAACAGAAACTCCCTCCAGGTGTTCCTGATATATCCTGTTGATAAGAAAGGGACACAACCTGACAACAGAATTCCTCCAAACACGACTGTCATCGGTGCAAATGCACAACAAACTTACTTAAAGTATTAATTAATCACCTCAAATAGTTGCAGATTCATTTTCTGATGGTTGAACAATCCAGTAAATGACTATTTCTTGCATCTCTGTCATGTTCTTGAAACAGGAGAAACCAGACAAAAACAGCAAGATCTCACATTTAAGGTCCAGAAACCAGAGAATTATTGTATGACTTTGGTTTACAAGCATGAAAATCCTCACTCGTGTATTTGTTGCAGCTCTGATACTCATGTTAATGATGCAAAGTCAAATTAAACTCTGTGAAAAGTTGGTTTTAAGAATGAATTTATTACAAAACATGAAAAGGTAACTAAAACACCAACATCTGAGCACAAACAGAGCATTTATTGGTGTATTTGAATGATAGTTAATTGTAATTTTCATCATTACAGTTATCCAGTTCTCACCAGATTCCCATTTAAAAGTTAAAGGATAAATGTGTGACATTTGTATTCTACATTGTCCTGCTGCCAGAAACCTGACTGCATATAAAAGAGCACCAAATCTGTGTTCATCCACAGCTGAACATAGTCCCAAATAAATACACAATTCATTCCTGTTTGAGTAACGTTTGATAAAAACCACAGTGACCAGCTGTTTTTGGAAATGACTCAAAAAGTAAATAACATATTTGTGATTTGTTTTAAAAGACTGACAGGAAAAGACAACTGGTGTAGGGTCTAGAGATGGACAAACACACTGTACCCCAGCAGGTGAAATGCAAAGTAACACCAGACTCATTCTGTAAGAACATTTTATGTTACCACTAAACAAAATGACATTTCACGTATGATTGTTGCAGCACTTCACTGAAGCTACATTTGGCTTCAACTGTGTGAAATATTCAACACGTTTAACGCACACCCGTGTTAAAATTCAACCTCAAGTTTAATGTTTTTGTTTTTTTTAAATCCATTTATTAAAAATGTGCAATAATAATTTAAAAAAGCAAATGCGTTTTTAACGACGTTCTTTTGGCTATGAACACTTTCTTTTCTGCACTCGGTGGAACCACAGAAGAACCATGAAGTGACCAAAAAGAAACTAGATGCTGCACTTTCTAAGAACATATATACACAACGTATTTTAAACACTTCAGAGCACATGAAGGCAGATGGATCACAATAATGCTTCTTCTTCTTATTTTCACATTTGTTTTAACCTCCATGTCACACCAAAGGGCTTATTAGGAAGACGTACTGAGCTTCAATCGCTCTTCACGTGTTCATTTTAGGTTAAAATAAACCAAACAAATACATCAGCAAACAGGTTTCAAAGTATATATTGACCCGTTCTGATTAATAGTCAATCTGCTAAGGCCATTTTTGGCACCTGACAGTGAGCTGGCTCTGCCACTTGACCACAGTTGGTGGAAAAGCAAAACCATATGACCAGACTTGGCTCACGTCGATATTGCTGACAGGGCAGAAGGGAGGTGTGAGGTGTTACTCACTGGGGTCACATTTTCAATCCAAAGAAGAAAAAAAAAAGTCTGAAAAAAAAAAACAAAACAGCTAAATATTCCTTTAAATGCTTTCATGCTACTAAAACTATATCTGAATCCTGCCCAGAATTGTAAAGCAAAATAGAAAAGACCAGAAAATAAGAGAAATAGCACAGCCAAGAATTCATAGAAAGAAAAGTATGTTCAAGAAAATGGCAGAGCTTGATTTCAAAAAGCTCCATGAGAACTGGTCCGGTCTCGTCCTTCCAGGTCCTTCACTGAGGCGCTGTGGGGTGCCGCTTCCTCTCTATGTACATCGTGTTGTTGTTGCCGCTCTGAAATCCGATCACGTTGCTGACGCGGATGTGGAGACCCGATGCAGGGCTGGAAGACTGACGCTGCAGAGAGGAGGAGGAGGAAAAAACGGCAGGAATATAACTAAATAAAAACAAGAATTCAATAATGTGTGAGGAGAGGCTGTTGGAAAATGTGTCCCGTATTTCAAACATGATGTGATGTGTGGAGACGTAGAGTACTGTTGGCCTCCAATGTCAAATAACAAGCTGCAAAAACCTGTTTAATCCAAATTTTTTAACAGTTTACTCATATTGCACAGATTTTTTACTGTTTTGTTAAATTACAAATACCTGGAGAAAGTCACAGAATAAAAACATTCATTTATTGTAAAACAACAGACCAAAGCTGTAGATAATGTCCACATCACAACTCTGTATTTCTGCAAATTAGAGTTTAAAAAAAAAAAAAACTTTTATTTGACTAACAAGCACAAAAACAACAAAAAAAGGCCAACAATTTTAACAAATAAAACATTTTTTTTAACTAGTTGCTGTTTTCCACATTTTTCCCCATTTTGTTAAATATATCTATTATAAAATCAGAAAAGCTTTATTAATCTACAATACTGGATATAATGACGTCAAAAAAATATTTTTTAAAAAATAGTCCAGAATAAATAACTTGTTCTTTAAAATGTGTAAAATGAGTTTTTCTGTATTTTAATCAACTAAAAATATATATATGATGCATATATCCTTATCATTTAATAGTGCCTTTGACGTTCTGTGACAGTATGGTCTTAAAAATATATAATTAGTTTTTTTCTCTATTAAATCATAATCCACATTTCAATGGGCTTCAACAGTTCTCCAATCAGCTCACATCCCAGCGGTTCAGCCTTGTTTTGTTCTGACTTCTAGCTGCTTTATAGAGTTAAATCTCAGCTTGATCTCTGGTTTTGTCATCCCTGAAGAAGCCTTAATGCAGGGGTCTCGAACTCCGGTCCTCGAGGGCCGCAATCCTGCAAGTTTTAGATGTTTCCTTCTTCCAACACACCTGATTCAAATGATCAGCTCATCATCAAGCTCTGCAGAAGCCGGATAACGATCCTGATCATTTGAATCAGGTGTGTTGGAAGAAGGAAACATCTAAAACATGCAGGATTGCGACCCTCGAGCACCGGAGTTCGAGACCCCTGCCTTAATGTCTTTAGAAATCCCAATCTGGAGTTATTAAAGCTCCAGATATCCTCCTCCCTCAGTGTGACGGGTTTCTTTCCCTCTCCGCTACTTACATCAAGTACATGAAACCCACCTCATAACTGAACTGGTTTAGCTTTGGTTTTCTTCTTCCTTGAGGCAAGCTGCCGTTCGAAGGAGACGGTGGTGCCAAATGAATGGGGTCAACGGACGCCGACTTCACTCTGTCTGCTGAACGGCCCTTGTCAACTTCAGCCACACATGCAGGTTGAGGTGGAGGCGGATCACATTTACCTGAAAACATGAAGCCACGATAGAGGATTTAGAAGTACGACCTGAAACCAAGAGCGTTTCTGGGCCACTTCCTTCAGCAGCAGCCTCCTTCTTACCTTTGTCTTCCGTTTTCTGTCTTGGTTTTGTAATCAAGCCGGCTCTTTCCTGCAACCAGAAGAAGTCTAGTCAGTGGTTGTTGAAGATAAACTGACATGACACTTCTGGTTTAAGCTAAAGGAGATTATAGACCAACAGCTCAAAGAGGATCACACAGTTATTCATACTCTTATACCAGGTCTGTTGTTTTTCTGACTTGTAGAGAGTTCAAATGGGCTCTCGCTGATATATATAATAGTTGGTCCTTGTGATTAATATAACCATGGTGATATTAACCATGGTGCTGTAGCAATAAAAGCATGGTAAGTAATGACAAAAGCTCCATCCTTTCCACTGAAGGCACAGTGAAAAGTAGTTTGGCACACTAGAGATGAACTTGTTTGTTACCCAGCTGGTGTTTTATCTTGAATAAGGTTAATCTGCGAATACATAAAGTACACAAACGTCATGTAAGTGAGCGTAGCTGAAGCATCGTAGTGTTGAGAACATTTGATGATGCATTTGAACGGCTTAATCTACTTTTGTGGGATTGTAAATGGTCAAAAGATCATTTACGAGGCCAACAATATGAAAATACTACAAGATATAACTATAAGTTCTTCAAAAATCCCACTCCAAGAAAATCAGAGAAAAATGTACTGTGACAAAAACCCACAAAATTAGAACTTGAGATTGTTAGTACTGATGCACCAGTGTCTGAAATAGTGATTTAGCTGGTCGGTGTGGATCCGCTGCTTCAGTTAGAACTGACATTATATTTTCTGTAAAGGGATCAAAAACCAAAAAAGGTTGGGAATCATTTTGTTTGTGAGCCAAACAAACTAGTCAACAATCGTTGTAAACAGCCTGTTCATCTGAAATGTTTTGAAGGAATCAAATTAAAGATTCATTTGCTATTTTACGGTGTGTTGGTCTATTTGTTGGCTGGTACCTTGTGGAGGATCCATTGGTTTCCTGGCAAGAAAACTTCAAGTTGCTTCTCACTGTTCTGTGCAGACCAACAGAACCTAAGCAGTTGCTGGTCAAAGCAACATATTTAGCGAAGAGAAACAAAAGTCTCCTTCAATACAATATGGTCATTTAGTAAATTATGGTCCAGCTTAGGGCTGCACGGTGGATCGGTGGTTAGCACTGTTGCCTCCAGCCCCCCGTGACCCTGGTGAGGACTAAGCGGTGGATGGATGGTCCAGTTTAAAATAAAATAGACGATAAAGCAGGCTGTGTTTCAAGGCAGGCTCCCATCTGATGGGCAAGTCACTACCTTATCAAAGGAGATGTGCACTGTTGACACTGATTACAAAGCGACACAGTTTGATGTGGCGGTTGCTCTTTCAGACCGTCTGTCTTCTCTGGAGTAGCCGAGCTTCAAACAAAAACAGGCCTGAATCTATGTGGTTTAATTCCAAAATGAAATACATGAATAATTTGGTTAGAATATTTAAATTTACATTCTACAAACGTTGGATTTTGCATACTGTATTGAGGCCTTGTTTAGCTCTGCTTCCTGTGAAGATGCAGCAGGACGTGACACATACAATATAAAGCGTGGTGCAGAAAGCACAGCAGCATCGACCAGTTTGTGGCAAAAAAAAAGCCTCACAGACCAAACCAGCCACTTAAAGCTCTTCTTGGTTTGTCACAAACAATTTCATCAACTGTTAAGACAGAGTTTTGGTGTTCCCTGTAAAGTCATTTTTTATTTTCCTTTAATGTTGCTCTCAGCAGGTTGCTGCAACAGAATTTTCTTATTTTCACCTGAACCGGCGCCCGTCCTGTCGGCACGTCAGGGATTACAGCTTGACCCCTCACTGCAGGAAAAAGAAATACAAGAAATGTAAAAACTGGTGCTGTGCTTGTGAGCTTTAAATGTGTTTGCAGGTGAGAAAAAGTGTAAAAAAAAAAAGAAAAAAAAGAAAAAAGATATAACACAATAAAACACAGTATATAACAACAACAACACATGCCTGGTTGAGTAACATGAGCCCTCCCCAACTGACGCGACAATTCTTCCTCTTTTTTCTGATCCTGGAAAGAGGAAGAGAGCAATTCAGGCCGTGACGTAAAGTAAGAGTAAAAATAGTGATTTGCTGCATCATGTCAAATTTTTACAGCATCTCAGCATGACTTGATGTACGTGAAGGGGTTTGTTCCTCACCAGTCGATTCTGCACTTGATGGACTGCGTCGTTGATCGAACGTTTGTGCATCTCGTACAGCTTTTCTGTCACAGTTGTGCACTCTGCAGAATTGTAATCCATGAGGTTGATGTACAGGATGTTCTGACCATCCAGACGTGCCATTCAAGGTATCTACATGCAACCACCTCTCCAAGTGGAGCAGTGGTGTTTTGAAGTGACATTAAGTTGTGTTCTTACCACCCGAGGAGGGCCGATTGGAGGGATCTCCTTCCCAGCATTTCTTCATGAGCTCCATGAGCTCCGTCAGCCCTGCACAGTCTGCAGACTGATGTTCGATCTCCTGCAGCAGTGGCCGGTCGCCCAGAGGGACACGAAGCCGCACGATGTCGGACAACGCATCTGTCGTAGGGGAGGGATAAAAAAGGTGAGTTAACATTAAGGAGCTGCCTGTTGAAGATTTTAATGCAAGTAACAAGTAGGTTTATATTGAAGGATGAAATGCATTAAATCATGCAGAATATAAGACGATACGTCAAGTGACTGGTTGTGAGAACTTTGACTCAACTCTGCAGTTTCCCAAACTTCTAAAAGGGAGTTTTAGTTTTACACCATCCCTACAGTTTTGGTGAAGTCTAATCACTCCCAGGCCGGTGCTGAGCTGCCTGATAAACACAGCGCAGCATTTAGTGCCAAAAATACCAGAGTGGAAATGGAAAAGGTCAACCACAGAAACCAGACTTCATGTGTTGTCAATATGTCGGTTCTGTATGCAGCTTGATGAACTGCCCCCCAGAAGAACACAAAAACTGTTTATACAGGTCATGAACTTGATGAGTTGAGCGATATCCATCCATCCATCCATCATCTATACACTTTATCCTCACTAGGGTCACAGGGAGCTGGAGTCTATCCATTACATCTACACTTAGAGACAGACAACCAAGCACACTCACATTCACACCTACGGACAATTTAGAATCACCAATTAACCTCAGCATGTTTCTGGACTGTGGGAGGAAGCCGGAGAACCCGGAGAGAACCCACGCTGCACGGGGAGAACATGGAGACTCCACGCAGAAAGATCCCAGGTGTCCTCACCGGGACGTGAACCGACGACCTTCTAGCTGCGAGGTGCTAACCACTGATCCACCTTGCAGCCCTTCAACTCATCATCGTAAGGTAAAATGCCTGAAGTTATGAAAACTCACTTTATGTAACCCTCAGTTGATTAAAAATCTAGAAATCTAAAGTAAAGATGATAAAAAGTAGCTACAATTTAAACTATAAAATAAAAGTACATTTATTTTACTGCTCACACTTTGTCCATCCAGTCGTCTGTTTTCCATTTTCAGATATTTGGCTGCAGGTTCTGGGTCAGTTTTACTTTGTTCAGTGTTGCTGAGTGACACAGAAGATGTTCAGAGTATTTAAAGGATGAGAGAGCAGCTTTAAACAGATACTTACGTGGATATGGTTGTTCCCCAGTGATGATGGACCACAGCAGGATGCCGTAGCTGAGAGAGAAACACAGCATCATGCCAGGATCATTAACTGTGCTGTCGCTTGGTGCACACTTTGTTCTCATCTGCCTTCTCGTCACTCCATTAAGAGCGATGCCAGAAAACGTGACTCCAGAGGGAAGTGTTCGCGTGCGGTTTCTCGTATGAGGAAGTCACACTTTTACCTGGAAGTTGAATTCTCTGCAGCAAATGCTTTTACTGGATATTCCCCGTTCAGCTTACCTGCAACAGGTCATTTAACTTCCTGCTCAGACTGGATCTGTGTTCAACATAAATGTCTAGTGTCCTAATTTATATCCTCAGCTGCCAATTCACCCTTGTGACAAACATCCAGATGTTAATTTTGCTCTAAAACGACCTCGTAGTAGCTGCAGCCTGTCTGTATTCACTCAGGAGTAAAGCAAATGCAGTGTACCTGTAGATGTCAGAGGCCCGTGTGGGTCTGTACGAGAGGTCGAAGGCCTCCGGTGGCATGTAGCCTAAAGTTCCTCCTTCCTCGTCGTTGTTCTTCTTAGAGCCCCGTGTGATGCTGTGGTAAAACCTGGCCAGGCCAAAGTCGCTCAGCTACACAGAACAGAGAATGAAGTAAATTAGCATGAGGGGAAGGAGGCCGAGGGTTCAGCGATGACACACGATGGGTTACTGTGTGGACAAGAAGCTTATTTTAGTCTGATCTCATGTGTATGTTGTTCAAACTAGTCAAGCCTCTAACCAGGTACATGTGGGCACAAAAGCCAAGTAATAAGCTCAGTATAATATAACTTCAGTGCAATCTCAGAATGTCTTGAGCGTTCAGATGTACAGTTCATCAAAAGGTGAAAACATTTACTCTCAGCACACGAGTTTCCAGAGAACTTGAGCTGCTTGTGGAATAAAAAGCCACAAAATACTGAAATGAAACTGAATCACGCAACCAAATTCTGAGTAAATGAATTTTTTTTAGATGTTTTATGGAGATGCTGTGGTTACAGAAAAATTTTACTAATTGCTCAATTTCTTTCTGGAGCAACTGTTGTGGGACGACTTTAAAGGAACAATCACAAAATCATTATAATGGCTTAATAATGGCTTCTATATATAGGACACTAAATAAAAGCCTATATGTCAACATAAAAACTGTTTTAACATTTAACTGGCATATATTCAAGATGCAAACTGAATAAATAAAATATATAAGAATTAATTATGACTAGCTGGGCTGAAATGTACAGTGTGTGGTTGGTTGTACTGCAAATAAAAAGGGGTTTTACAAGATACTTGAATTACAAGACTGCAGAGTGTTTGTAGCTTATAGATTTCAAATAATTTTGTGGCCCACATTTATGATACGAACCTTATTTTTAATTAAAGCAGAGCTCCAAACCTCCAGATGTGAGAAGATGTGTTTGAATATTGGATAAAGTCTGGTTGTGTAAATGTGGCTCTGAATGGTCTGAACAAGGCGTTTGTGAAACTCTTTATAGATATGAAGAAAACTGGAAAGTCTGCTGCATAGATTGTAAGCCTGCCCAGGCAGGTTTAAATTTTGACCACACCAAACTAAAAATCTGAATTAAATCAGAATTATAAGATTGAGTTCACCTAAACCAAATTAAAATCATTCATATATATATATATATACACACATACAGTATGTAGTATTTGTACCAGTCTTGTGTGACTGTTAACATGACAAAAGATGATTCACACCTCTTCATATGCATTTAAATTAACTGTTGTTGTGACCCTTTGATAGTTGCAGTATTAAACAGTGTGAGGTTCACACACATGGTGATGGGTGGAGACTATAGATTTCAAATTTGCCCAGGCAGGATTACGATCTCATAATATAAGGAGGATTTTAATTTGGTCGAGGCAAAATCAAAATTTTAGTTCTGCCCAAGCAGATTTGGATCTGGATTTTAATTTGGACTGTGACATACACACACACATACATATATATATATACATATGTATATACAATTCAGTGATTTAGATAGACCTTGTGTTAATGCTTCCTCCCCCCAGACCACCACACAAGATCTAACAAACTAACAAAACTTCACCCTGAAAATGAGGATAAGGCTAAACATGGGTCTTGGTTTTCTAAAAGGCCACAGAGAGATTTGTCTCAACTACCACCCACTGAATCAAAAGGATAGAACCACTAAAGACCATGATCCACACAGCAGCATATGTGGGAGTCACTAGTTTTGCAAGGGGTGGTTTATATATATTTAAAACAAAAACAGAACAAAAAAACCTGCTGAACCTTCTGAGCCAGATTCCCCCAAACTGAGCTGAGACTCAAAACCCTCTTTATATAGTCTCCCAGCCAGGCTGATGACCAACAGCTGAGCTCTGCTTCACAGGTGCAGCAGATCTACCTGATGAGCAGGTGAGCCGTCACCTGGTTTCTGATATTTAAAAATCCAATTTAAAAAAACAACAGCTTTTCATATCCATCCACACCAGCATCAACCTAATATTGTGTAATTTAAACGTACATTTCTGCATTTGTTGAGGTAACTGAATGAAACTGGATTAATAACTTAATAACCTTTAGTTCAAGGCCCTTCCTTTATCTTTATCCTGGACAACATCAGATGGATGAAACTGGTAACTAAAAGTACATTTGGTTGGATAAGAAAAGGCTGATCCTGCTAACGAAGCTTCATACACAACCCAGCGAGACTGATGCAGACTGCTGGGTTGTTGTTTTCTGGAGCGTCCAGCAGAATGAGACCTGACCTCCTCTTAACATCCGACCTTAAATCTGCTGAAATGAAATGAAAACAATGTGCAGGTGTGGATGTGATCAGACATCTGTAGGCATCTCTCTGTCTGAGGCTGCTGCTGATGAAGCTGCATTGTCCGTAATACTAGCTCCAGGGTTTTTTACAGGGAAGGAAAGAGACAAAATCTCTGCTTCTGCTGCATCCATTTAATGCATAGTTCAGTTTTAAATGTGAGACGCTCTCTTTGAAGGCCTGGAGCTCACCTTGGCTCTCAGAGAGGAGTCCAGCAGCACGTTGCTGGGCTTCAGGTCCAGGTGGAGCAGAGCAGGCGAGAGACTGTGGAGGAAGTTGATGCCCAGAGCCACCTGGTGAACCAGTCTGAAGGCCAGCGGCCAGGGAGGGGGTCCCCGTAAGGTGTCCTGTGGGGGGACGGCGACATGGCTTTACAGACCTACACACAGACTTCATGCTCTCTTTACACTGTCCCTTCTGGCCTTCTATTATTTATATTTAGCTCGTTATGATCTTTTTTTATTTTATTTTACCCACTTAATTGAGCCTGGTGTTTCCTCTCATAGTGTCTTTTGTGTTTGATGTAAAGCACGTGTTTTATATCAGTAAGTGTCTTTTCATGACGACATAACAATGACTACGAGACACTGGTTGCAAGGTGGCTCAGTGGTTAGCACTGTTGCCTCGCAGCAAGAAGGTCGCCGGTTCGCGTCCTGGTGGGGGCACCAGGAATCTTTCTGTGTGGAGTTTGCATGTTCTCCCCGTGCAGCGTGGGTTCTCTCCGGGTTCTCCGGCTTCCTCCCACAAGGTCCAAAAACATGTTGAGGTTAATTGGTGATTGTAAATTGTCCGTAGGTGTGAATGTGAGTGTGCTTGGTTGTCTGTCTCTAAGTGTAGCCCTGTGATAGACTGGTTACCTGTCCAGGTGAACCTGCCTTCACCCTGAGTCGGCTGGGATAGACTCCAGCCCCCCATGACCCTAGTGAGGATTAAGCGGTGTATAGATAATGGATGGATGGATGGATGGCTGATTTTAGTGGCTGTTCTTAAACGCACCATGAAACCGATTTATTGTGATGATCTAAAGGTGTCTCATGAAACAGACAAAACTACAGAAAACCACCTGTTTTACCTTTTAAATGTCATGCAAGTCTATCCAGTAAATGTGGTTATATGTCCCTAAAATAAACCAACATCAGCGTTATGACTCATCAAGTCACTAAACTTCAGCCTTTTGGGAACAGGGAAGTAAAACCCATCTAAGGGTTGTTGAGACATTTCACTGAGACCATGTTTTTACCTGCAGTGATTTCAGTGATCCGCTGTCCATGAACTCCATGACCAGCCCCAGCTGTACCGTAGATCCAGGCACGTCCGGTCGACCTTTGAAGACGCCGTGGACGTGAATAACGTGCGGGCTTCTTCCCTGACGCATCATCTCGACCTCACGCAGCAAACCCGAGCTGCTCCTGTGTGTGTCGGTTCAGTCAGTCACTTCTCTCAGGAGCAGCTAACAGAAGCTCTGTGCAAAAACTTACCCGCCGTCGCAGTTAAGCAGTTTAATGGCCACATCATCGAGCCAGTGACGATGCCTGGCTTTGTAGACTTGTCCAAAACCACCACCAGCAATCCATTCCCAGCCCACGAGGGAGGATTCTTCGATCACCGAAGCAGCACAGTCGGTCAGCGCCATGGTTCACTGGAAGAAGAAGAAGGTGCAAATAAACTACTGCTAGAAGAATATACTTTATTTAATCAGGCTGTTTGCTCAGAGAGGCAGCTTCGAGATCAACAGATCACTACACTGGACGTGAGAGAACCTGTTTTCCCCTCAGGGCTCCTCTGTCAGTCTAATTAAAACTCAACAGTCATCCAAGGTTTAACCGTTTCAATGCTGCATCAACGCATGTCCACGAGCCTGACTCATATTTAAGACGACCTCTGGAGCCAAACTCCTGGTGTTAGGGTTTGAGATAGTGGAGGTTTACAGACCTGTTTACATATTACACGTGTATTTCACTAACTCTGATACTTTAGTGAGTAAACATGTAATAAAGTGACTGCTTTTAGTCAACAGACAGCAGAAAGAAGCAGTGAACAACTGTCAGAACGTTTTAGTTTTAAAATGCATCATGTTTGTGACGCTGACATCTAGTGTCCACACCACCACGGCACCTCTGACCTCTGACCAGCAGGCTTTGGATGAGTAGGCCGACCCCAGTTAAGTTTCCAGGGTAATATTTTAGCTTGGAGGGGCAGGAGGCTTCAGGGTTAGAACATCAGCCAACAATAATCCAGCATGAACAACAAATCACAGCCCTTGTTGTCCATGTAGCTGTTGGCCTGTTAAATCCTCCGTGTTGTCAGGCAACTGCTGCCGACATGCAAAAGAGGAAACCTGTTTGAGCGATTAGTGACGATTCCTGCGTCTCAACTGAAGTGTTGTCAGACGATGGAAGGAGGTTATTTATAAAACGCTAAAACGTCCGTCTGGATTCCATTTGAAAGGATTCGTGTGGCTGTACCCGGAAGAAAAGCAGTCAAATCCTGTCATTGATTAAACCCATAAAAACTCAGCGCTTCATTGAAATTAACCCCTTCTTGCCTTCAAGTGGCTCACAAATGATCCTACGAAGCCCCCATCTTTCTTTCTGTTCGCTGCAGCTGGAGCACACCAGCTCGCCTACAAATCTACTCGAAAACTGTAAAAGTACTGAATGTTGGAGTATTTCAGCCTGTTTGAGTTGGAAGAATACAGAAAGTACATAAAGCCTCACTCTGCCAGCAGACGGATTCATTCCTTATGTTTGAATTGAATGATTGAATTTTGTCTTAAGTTCATTGCGTCTATAAAATGAAAACGCTCCTAATCTGTCGTCCAGCATATAAACACACACCATACGGGCCACATGTTCACAGTAGCAGGAGTGTAATTCCCTTTTCCATTTAGCAACAGCCTCATAAATCCTTTTCTTCAGCTCATCTCCCTCTTAAATGTGTCGCACATCGTGTTATCTGACCAGCCTGTGTGAGGAAACACACAGAAATCAGGCAGCTTGTAGGATGTGCTGTGGTTGAGCACAAAAGGTCGAACTCACAAAGTGGCACCAACTCGCTCACCGACATGCACAACAGGAAACCACAGTGTGTGTTGCTCAGTGTCCTAAGCACGCCAAGCAAAGTCCAGACAGGAGACGAAATAAAAGAAACACCCGTAAAATGCAAAAACACAGCAGCCCTGATGTGATCACTAACTCTGAGAAGCTCACCGTGTTGTTGTTTTCCTGTTGCTGATGTGTTGTATTCATATACCTTCTATTATCCTCAGCGTCTGAAGACTAAGAGAGTAACTTCTAATCCTACTTCAGTCGAACACAGAGAGCAACACGCTGTCAGAGCGCGATTCAAAGAGATCATTCACAAACACAGCAAAGTTCACGGCCGGCTCACTCCCACAGAGACACCAGTGAGAGCATCAAGGTGGTGAGTCTTGGACCTACTCACCCTGAGCGATCTGCTCGTCTGCCTCATCGTCCAACCAAACCGACAGAGCTTCAAGAATGCAAATCCTTCCTCCTCCTTCGCAGACTTTCTACAGCAGCTCTGAGTGAAAGCAGAAGTGAAACCCTGCAGCTCAGATCCGTCCCACAAATCCACTTCTGCTTTGGGCTGCTCAGCAAAAAAACAAAGCAGATTATTGTTTTTTTTGTTTTTTTTTAATCAGCTTAATACTTTTCTTTGTTGTGTGATACAAAAGCTGTTTATTCAGGTGGATTGTTTCTATTAAATGGTGACAAGATTCAAGATTTGTTTGATTTTGTTAAATTGAGCCATTTAAGGGACTCAATATGTCCAGTTATGAAACATCTTTGGTGTGAAAAGAAATGACTTTACATAAAAATGTTGTTTTACTGTGATTCATTCATTTTGAGATGACTCGTTGTGTCTTTATCTGACAGTAAAGACTTTAATATTTGGGGGAAGAGAAAGTTGGATTCACACCAGAGAAAGTGACTTTCATTTTAAACCACTGCGGCACCGCAAAACCCAATCAGGTGCTTTTTAAAAACTGTTTTATATTCACAATTATGTCCTTACTGCAAAGCCTGTGTGTAAAATAAAGAAAGGCCTCCAGTAGTGTGGCCAACAGGGGGCGCTCAGATCAGCATGTCGGATGAATTACAGGAAATGGGAAGTTTAGACAAAATCACAGGAAGCACACAAACACCTTTACAGGCCCTGAATATTGATATTATTAGATTATTATCATTAATAACCACTAATACACAAATACAAAGGGTTCTTTATGGTTGAAGCAACGTTAAATGGGACAAATAAAGTCAGACAACTAAAATAACACAGAGAATTTAGCCACAACCCAACGTTTATATCACCTAAAAGCATAAATAAGATCAATATTAAGATGAGAAGCTGGAAGTAAAACAACATGTGAGCCAGGATGAGCTCACGTCTTCATGTGTGTGATGATTTGATTCATGATGAGCGTCACCAAAGTAGAAATAAAAACTAAAATATAGAGACATGGAGTGTATTTCACATCTAAATTGTGTGTTTCAGTAACAATTGTGAGGAACTATTTTGTGTTTATTGTCTTTTTATGTCTTGACCTTTAAGACTCAGCGTCCTCTTTAAAGAATCACCTCTTAAAACCTACATGTGCAGCCTTGTTTTGATGTGAGGTTCTCTCTTTTTTGTTTATTTCTGACATGTTTTCATAGTTTCACTCGATTTTTTTTTGTTATTTGATTTCTTTGGCTCTCATCCTGTGTGTCTCTCATTGTCTTTAATCTGCTATTTCTGGTGCTTTTTATGTTTTACTCACATGAGCTGGTGTTTTGGATTTATTCATATTCTGAATTTTGTGTTTTATATCTGTTCCCATGTTTTACTCTATTTCACCACTTTTTGCTTCTCTTTTTTTTTTCTTTCTGTTCGGCCTCACCGAGCATCAGAGTTAGCAGAATAATTTATCGCAGATATTTAGGAAACCTGGGGAAGGATCGTATTGCAGCATAAAAGTCCAGCCACAGACTGGATCAGCATAGTGGGCAGAACACACACACACACAGCGAACTAAAAATCTTACTTAGGTGAAAGTATTGGAAACAAAATGTGGGTAAAACATTCAAAAACCACAAAACAAAGAGACAAATGAACAGTACCGGTGCTGGTTTGGTCCATTTCCTCTGATATATTATCATATCTGCCATTTTTATATTATTCATAGTGAGATATTAATGTGTCAGCAGCAATTTAAATCAAGTTCTGATGCACAAATCTGTTTTACTTTTTCTCTAATCTTTGATTTTTATGGAGATATTGAATCATTTATTGAAATCAAAGTTTATGGGGGAAATAGTTTGACTTCAATCCCATGTTTTGAGTAAATCTGCTGAGTTGCTCTCACTGGCTCATCACTGGCGCTCCTCTTTCTTCTTCATTAAGATTGCAAAACATGTTGACATAGTAGGACTGAAACCCACGAGGGCGTGATGGCTGACATCACGGCTCATGTTAAAGGGAAACTCCACCTATTTAACAAGTGGAACAACACTGGACACGAGATGAAAGAATGAATCAGGAATTGTTGTGGTTGAAGACGTGAGCTCTGCAGCTCACGCCTCATCCTCCAGCTGTTAGATAGACAGATAGATAGATAGATAGACAGACAGACAGACAGACAGACAGACAGACAGATAGATAGATAGATAAGTTTTGTTCTTACTATAATTGTTACATTTATTATTGTTATTAATAATGATATAATGTAAAAATACAAGCACTAAAATATTAAAAATATTAAAATATAAATAATTAATAATGTAATTAGTAACGATTATTACAATACAACAATAATTTTCATAAAAATATAGTGACTTTCTACACTAAAAATACAAATTGTAGTTGTAATAGTAGACTGTGACAATGTATGTGACATTACTGAGGAGCTACATCTTCTTTTGTTGTTGTCACAAATTTTATGCAATTAAAAAACGACATTTAAGATATCAAACTTGAATCTAACAGTTTCATATATTAGATAAAAAGGGAAATCTGTGAAATAATGTATTTTAATGTCAAAATGATTTAATTTTCTCTTCTTTTTTTAAAAAAATGGAAATTATATAATTGTATACAGTTACAGGTTTTTATTTTCATTTTTAGAAATTTTAGAATTTTTTCCATAAAAATAAACAAAAATAGACAAAAAATAAAAGCTCTGTAAAACAACAAATCTCCCTGTCACAGTGTTTCTCTGGTTACAATCCCCATGTTTCTGGTCACCACTATATATCATAATGAACTAAAACAGGAATAATCAGAATTTATTGGGGATTGTTTTCAGCTGCAGATTGATGAATATATTATACTCATTGATGTGCTTTTTACTGGTTTCTGAGCAACAGTGGAGCCTCATGAGCTGCACAGAAGACTCCTGGAGGCTTGTCGGTGGTTGGATGTGCTGACAGACAGGATGCGGTGTGGGAGGAAACGTTTCATTCGTCTCTGAAGCAGCAAACTCCTGCTTCAGGACGTTTTTCACACACAGAAGGGTGCTTAGCTTTTAAAGTCACGCTAAGAAGAAGTGAAAGAGGAATATTAACTTACAACAGCCCCAGTTTTCTTGTGTGAAGCCTGGCGTTGAGCAGGATAGTCCACAAAAAAAAGGGGCAGGAAAAAACGCGTCTGACGTCAGTGGAAATCCCCTTTATCTCCTGTTTGACAATTTCACATCTTTACACATTTATCTAAACACACAGGCTGTAAATATGCCCTCTACACCGTTATAAGTGACTTTAATGGTTATTATTTGTTTAATAAATTCACGACGCTTGTGCGTAATTTTGCGCAACTTTGGCACCTTCTTGATCCATTTCAACATCCACACGCACACGTCACACGTCCGTGCGTGCACAAAGCCGTTCTGTGAGCCGCACGGAGGCAACCAGCGCCCTGTCTGCCAGATGAGCTCCGTGTGTTTTTAGTTTCGGTTTGGTGTCCGGGGCTTTTCTCCGCTCATGTGATGTCCGGTCCCGGCGCGGGCTTCCTCCCCACGCGTCCCGCCGCCGCAGCGCCAGCAGGGCCGCCGGAGGCTCCGTGACTCTCAGCCCACCGGAGCGAGCAGCGAGCGTTGCAACATGTGTTCAACTTTGGACTCGTAGATTCTCTCCTTGTTGTTCCGTGAGGCGGAAGCGAGCTGCGCTGCCTTCACGGAGCTGCTGCTGGAAACGAAACTTTGACTGCGCACACAGATCGAGCTCACGTAAGAAATCCACACCGACAAGATGATGTTTTACACTTTTGTCTGTTTCATAAACCCCTTAAAAGTCTGACATTGTGTGCTGTGGAGCGGGTTGTGTTTATTTTCTGGTTTGTTTCTGCCACAAACCTTGTTGTCAACAAGAGCAACGTTTCCCAGCGCGCACACAGCTCCCATGCAGGGCCATGTTTACACGCTGCTTCTGCGTTTTCTTGCTTTTAAAGTGCCTCAGATTGCAGACTGATGTGACTGTGTGGCAGCTGCAGACCGTAAATCTGTCATGTGAGAGTGTTGTTGAACTAAAGCAAACGACTGCACCTTGAAAACGCAGTCAGAGCAGCCAGACAGCTCGACAGACAGACAGGCTGGCAGGCAGGCAGGCAGCAGATCTGAGTGAGGCGCTGCAGGCTTGTTGACATTTCTGCAGAAGTCTATCTGGTGCAAACTGTGGAGAGGTGTTTGGAATATTTCCTCTTCATGATACTGTAAGTCTTCACTACATTTCAGACATAAAAATACTACATGGTTACAGTATTTAAATCAGCAGAAATATAATTATTTTACAGATAATTGCCATTATGGATTTTATTTTCAGTAATTATACTTTCTAATGTTATTTTGCAGATTTTCCCTATAAAGTTAAATTTCAAATAATAGCTAGTAATATTTTTTACTGTATTTAAATCATCATAAATTAAACTATTTTACAGTAATTTGACAGGAAAAAAATTAAACATGGTAAATATTTGTAACCACTATTTTATAGATTTTTCCTGTTTAATTAAATTACAGATAATAAATCACAGAAAAAGTATGAATCTCTTTTTGCTAATTAACTATTTATTAGTTACTATATTTAAATAAGAAATATTTTTTAAAGATATTTGCCATTACTTAAAAGCATACGTTAAATAATATTCTTTAGCAAAGTTAAATAATGTAAAACTTTTTCATTTGTGTTTTATGCACAGTTTCACCCTTTTTAAAATTTTAAAAATTAATATTTTATTTCTGTAATTTTCCCGACAATATCTGTAGTTTGACAAATCTGGTACAAAAAAAAATGTAAAAAAAAAAAATATATATATATATATCCAGTCCTCAAGATACATGTTTTTCTTTCAAATAGCAGCATTAACCTTTAAAATTACTTTTTTTCTGATTTAAATGCCGTAAGAAAAAAACAAAAAAGTAAAGCAAAGAATTTCCATGTTTTTTTTTTTTTGTTTTTTTTTTTAATGTGGACACTATTTACAGTTTTGGCATGTAAATGAACACTTTTTGGGGGGATTTTACTGGACATTATCTGTAATTTAACAAAACATGGAACATTTGCAAAGTAAAGGTAAACTGTTCACAAAAAACTACAGTTAAAAGCTGATAAAAATGTCCTTTTGTGGTCTGCTGTATGACTTCTGAACTCTTTCAGTGTCCTTTTCAAGTGTGTGAGTCGACCTGCTGCAGTGAAGTGCTGCTAAAACACTGCAGCATCAGTGTTAACAGCCTGATAACGTCATAAACATGATAATATAACATAAACTATGTCAGCTATATAATAAAATAGCAGCTGACTGTTGTTATCCAAACACCCTTTAACCACAAACTCAGTCAGTGTGATCCAAAGCCGAGTTGATGTTTAAAGCTGTTCTAACAGATGTGTGAAACGTGTTTGTCACAGTATGTCACAGAACAAGTGATGGACGGCGAGAGAAGTGACGTCGGTGGAGGAGGAGGCGGCGGAGACCCGGAGGTGGAGGATGAGTTTGCGTGTGCCGGGATGCTGCGAGGATATCTGACCTCCCTGCACGGCTCCGTGGAGCGAATATTCACGGTGACGTTCAGGATCGGGGCCGACGATCTGCCTCACGGTGACGACGGTCAGATATGGCTGAAGCTACGAGGGCCGAGCTCCAACGTGAAAGCTGCCAAAGTAAGACGCACTGTTCCTCATTGTACAGTTCTGCTGCGTAGGTTTAAATTATACAGCACAGGTTCTGTTGAGCTCACATTACTGGAACCAAACCCTACGATTGTCGTCATCCGCTGTTGCTGCGTTTTATTTCCATTTTCATCCTTTATCTGAAAAGGTGCGACACCGGTTGTTGTGTTTACGGGGAGTGTCGGCATTCAGCTGCAGCGCTTCTGGTAAATGACTCAGCATGTAGTTGATTAGCTTCTTTCAGTTGAGTTTCAGTCCAGCCTCTTGTCAAAATTCAACTCACTGAATAGAAAATAGATTTTTCGTTTGGCCGCTGCACTGTTTAAGTGGCTCTTCTGAGCACAGTGTCTCCTACAATAGCAACACCGATGCAAATCATACGTAGGTGTACTTCCTCTTTGCTCAGAGCCATTTTGAGAGAGACACAGTTTATCTGAATATATTTTACTTTCATGTATTTTGTGTGTCATGTCTTGCCTCTCGAATGATCCATCCAACAAAAAAACAACACACACTTACACGTAGCCCACATTTATGGTGTCAGAGTCCAAACATGATGAGATGTCATCACACCAGTGTAGGCGTGGAGGCTCACACACACGCTTTCTCATTCGCTTTGACTTCAGTGACATCATGCATGGCTGAACTGAAAGTGGGTCCTTTGCAACACTTCTCGTCATTCACGGTAATAGAAACTTAAAGCAGCCGTCCACGCTGAGCTCTCACACAGGACCATGATATTTCCTGAGCAGACATTAGCTGCCCTCGATGCCTCCACCAACCACCTCTGATAGCTTTTCCTTTTTAATGTTGTCAGTCCTGTCATGTTATTCCTCGCTGTAGGTTAATTTCTGACTGCAATGTAAAGTCCAGCACCTCTAGACGTAGAGAGAGCTCAAAAGTGTCGTTTGTGCTGAATGACAAAATTGTAATACACGATAAATAAATAATAAGCTGGAATCAAGATGTATATTGCTAACAGTAGAAAAAAAGTGGCTCTACAACTGAAGACACTTCATTTCTCTTCTTTTTGCCTGCATGTTCTTTGTAAACACAGCCTGCAGTTCAGCCCAGTACAGCCATGAATGTTTGTCACCAGTCAGTCAGTGAAAGCTTCTGGATTACGCTGTGAAGGGCAGAATTTTTACTTTTTTTTATTCATTTTTTTACAGGGGCTGGTGAGAGCACATGCTTTTTTTTTTTTTTTTTTGCATATTTTTAATGAAGCATGCAGAATAAAGTGATTTTGATTAAATATCCTGATTTCAAGCTTAGATTTGGTCACAACATTAATTGAAGGAGCGTTAATATGACATGAAACAACACAGAATGCTGGCCGAGTATCTTCTGTTACCATCAGTGGTCCGGTTTGGTTGGGATTAGTCGTACATTACTCATGAAGACCATGTGAGCTAAACGTGAACCTGCAGCATCAACATCAAGACTTATCAGAGAAGCTCAAATGTACCTACTATGCTTTTAGGGTGTAACGTGACAAACGTATCTGATAATGAACTCATGACTTTCTTTCCTGATATAGACACATGATGTTTTAAACACTGTCGTATCTGCAGGGTTCTCCTGCCTCAGGAAGCTCGACTGATTCATAAACAATAAAGGAACTGAGTCTGTGTTGCTGCATTTGAAAAAAATCACATTTTTTCTTGTTATTTACGACTATTTTATAAGCAATTATAAGAAAATTAAACCCAAATAAACACAACTGGTTCAAATACGGCATCATTGGTTGTGTTATTTCCCTTTGATGCTGGCTAAAACCTTTACAGCAGGCGACAAAAATTCCAAAACGAAATGTACTATGTGAGAGTCCAATGCCAGCTGCTGCCACGGAGGCCTAGAATTCAACCAACCCACCCGGAACGCAACACAACAGGACGGACAGTTCAGCCATCCCTCTCTTGCTCTCGCTCTCATGATAGTCACATGCCGTGTTTATTATTATATGTTAAATGGTTTGCTTTTGGTCATAATACATATCCTTATTTTGAGATAAATCTGTGCTCCTTGCCATATTTGTTATAACCCAGATTAAAAGTGAATGACACAACAATAAGACCAAATATTTCTGTCTTTCAGCTGTTTGTGAAAGGAGTTGTGAACCAGGAGGAGCAGCAGGAGGTTTCGTATCCTGGGGTCCTTCACTGTGTCTTCTGTGGAGCCAGAGGGCTGTTCGTGGACAGCCTGGTTAAAAACACCTCAGCTCATATCGTGGTAAGTGCTGCGGCTAACAGATATTTTCATTCTCAATTAATCCACCCTTTATTGATCAACAGATAGTTTTAGCGCTAATGAATCACTCATACTGAGAGAACCAGAACCCTGATTTGCATTATTCAGTCGTCAGAGTGTAGAAATGAGGAAACACGTCGCTCTAAATAAGACGACAAAGTGGGGAAATAATGCAGCATTGTTCCATTAAAACAGGCAGTGAACCTCCAAGCCTTGATTCGCTTTCGTCATAACGATGATATTGGCTAATAATGTGATATCTTGGCATTACGCTCGTGTTCCTACCGCAAGAAATTACATTATTAGTCAATATCAGTGTTGCGTCAACTGATTAAAAAGGGAGTAAAACCGTCTTTCAATGTGGGACCGTGATGTTGTCACTGGGAATTTTTAATCTGTTTTTAACATGAATTGCAAACATACAACTCATGGAAGTTTTTCCCCCGTTTTGTGATGACTGTGTTTTCACAATGAGTTGCTGCTTGAAGAAACAAATTGCTTGAAAAATACATAAGTAACAATTAAAGAGTGGGATTAATAAAGGATTTATGAATGTGATCAGGTTGTGTTGTTAAGAATAGTCCTTTTATTGCTTGCTGAACTGTTTCTATACTGCAAAGTGTTTGTTTAGCCAGTCAGTTACAGGAAAGTGTAGACTTCTGCTAAATGGCTCTGTGACCTGTCAGCTGATTACTTTACACAGCTGTAAAATCCTCTCATAGAGGCTGAACAGCCTGTTTTCCTTATTTTATGGTTATATGTTTTTAATTTAACTGTTTGGCCTGAGTTAGTCTGTGTGTACGTTACATAAGAATCCATAGAGAGGAAAGACTTCAGGACCTTCTGTGGACATATGTGCTGCAGGTTCATCTCTAGGAAGCGTTTGTTTCTGTTGGACCTTTATTACATCGTCTGGATTCTTCCTTTGAGAATCTGGACCAACTGTTTTATTCTCCACATTGGATATGATGTTAAATTTACCAACGACCAGCAAAGTCTGAACAGTTAAAGCAGTTTTTCATGACAGCTCCTCTGCGTTGCAGCTGCTTATGTTGTTTTACCGCACGGCTGTTTTCAGTCTGTGGTCATTCAGAGCTCAAAGATTTATGTCATTCTGTTTACTTCTCTCCAAACCAGGTCGGCTCTCCAGGATCCCTGCTGATATCAGGTCTGGCGGAGCCAGTGGTGCGAGCCTATTCTCTCATCGCAGACCTGGTGGAGCGCTATGAGGGCACACAGTCCAGACGCCCTGAGACCGGAGACAGAGGTTCAGGGGAATCTCTGGATTCACGCCGGGCCTTTAAAACTCTGGTGGAGACATGGGAGGACAGGCACATCCTGGATCTTCTTGTACTGCCAGTGTCAGTGAAGGAAATCCTCCTGGATTTGGTGAAAGAAGCAGGACTTGGATCAAACCCAAAGCCGATGCCGACTGGTGTGAAAACACAGGAAAGATCTCAGACAGTTTCAAAGGGTCGACAGGACAAACAAAGGACCACGAAGCAAACACTCCACAATCCTTCCAGCACTGCTGATCGTTGGGCTGAAGGGATGACTGCAGGAAAAGACTCTGCAGGCACTGACTCCTTCTTCCAGCCTTTTTCCTCCTCTGCAGGAGGCAGAGGAAGGGCAGAGGGAGCTGAGGAAAGACTCACACATTCTCCACAGGAGGTGGGAGAGGAGGAGCAGGTGGAAGCGTTTGATACCAGGCTGAAGGACGGGCGAGAGAAGAATGGAGGGCAGGAGGCGCCGCTGTCAACTGGAAACAAGGAGTTCTTGCTTCTTTTAAAGTTCTTCACAGTCATGGGCTACAGCGAGGACGTCGTGAGACGAGTCCTCGCCCGGACAGGACCTAAAGAGGCGTCGCAGATTCTGGACTTGGTTCAACAGGAGCAGGATCGCAGTGAGCAGAACAGTCAGCATGTCCCAGACCCGAAAAATGAAGACGGTGTCGCCCTGGATCACATCGAGAGGAACCGACCCTGCGAGACGGAGCACAGAGAGGACGAGGGAGCAGTGGGAGGAGGAGAGCAGGTCCTAAGTAGTAATGGAGAAGCTGGAGACGGAGGAGAGGGCAGCACCACGGGAAGCTCCGGAGGCTTTCAGAAAGAAGGCAGTGCAGAGGAGAAGGAGGCGGGACAAGAGGAAGACTTTGTCCTGGGAGTGTTGAAGAAAGCAGCGGCCAGCTGTGGGTACGACGAGCAGAACGTAGCCAAAGCCTACAACATGTTCCCTGAACGATCCACTCACGAGCTGCTGCTGGAGCTGCAGAGGGAGGGCAGCAGAGAGACGGACGCCTTCAGGGCAGAGCCGAGGGAGATGGACGATGTGGTGCTGGAGGACGGGCCGAAAGACAGACCAGCAGAGGTCGGAGCCAGAGGAGAAGTTGACCTTTTTTTACCTGCAGAAAGGAGAGAAACTGGTGAGAAAGGACAGATCAACCTTACTGCGCCTAAAGCAGATCCAGATGTATTTTCTTGCATTAACAATCACCAGCACACCTCCCATCCAAAGCAACACCAGACTTCAAAGTCACAAACTCCTCACCAAGTCATCCTTCCTGAAGTCAAAGGGCCTCCCATGCCTGTTTACACCTCCTCCCTGGATCTTCCACTCACCAACTTACAGTCCAACAAGCAACATGCTCAACCCATCTACTGGCCCAATCAGTCGCCCTCAAAGCAAAACCATCACCACAACCCGAAGCCCCAGTCGGCTTTAAAACAAGCCCTTCAAGCTCCTCAGCCTGCCGCCTTCGCCAACAAGGACTCGTCTCCCACCAGAGCGAGGGACAGACGGGGCTTCACGTCTTCAGTGGTGGTGACGGGAGAGCAGCGTTTCCTGGAAGGCCTGCAGATGCCCTTTGAGCTGAAGCTGACCGATAAACCCGGAGACCCCAAACTGAGGACGATCGTCATCGATGGCAGCAACGTGGCCATGAGGTGGGAGCAAAGAAGTAGCAAAACGAAGCTGCGAATGCTCTAATGTGCATCATTTTATTAGTGTTATGGAAAGAAAATGAAGGTTGTGTGTATCCCGCTTGTTCTAAATGAAACTGTGGGTTGGAGGCCGACAGTTTGTCTTTGTTCTGAAAGTGACATTTTAAATAGCAATAAAAAAAAAAGCACATCCAGCACCTTTTTTTTTTTTTTTGCAAGAAACTATACAATCTTAATGATGCACGGTGGATGTTTCTACTGCTTTTGTTGGTGCGTTGCTACTTCTGTTTGCCGCCAAATGTCAGTTAAGCAGGACAGATTAAAACCAACAGCAGGATTGTGGACTGCATCGCCTGTGGGCTCATCTTTCAAATGAAAAAGCATTTCTTTATAGCACCTCTAGGGATTAAAAAAAACTCTCCAAGGTAAATGTAAAAGTTTGGAGAGACGCACACAAGTCAGAAATTCAGTTGGTAGAGAGTAGCTCAAGAGGAATCGAAACATCTCTTTAGTTTCAAACTGTGATCATGTTTGATTTTCATCTTGTTCAGGTTTTATTGTAAATGTCTACATGTGTTGTTTCCCACAGTCACGGTTTGGGTCATTTCTTCTCCTGTCGGGGAATCGCTCTGGCTGTGCAGCACTTTTGGGACCGAGGCCATCGTAACATCAGCGCTCTCCTGCCGCAGTGGAGACAGAAGAGTGACCCCAAGATCAAAGGTTTTAACACTTAATATTTAGATTTTCTGAAGCTGAAAGTATTTTCAGCAGTTTAAAAAGAGCATACATTGTTGGGCTGCAGCTGAATTGTATTTTAATGACTAATTAGTCTTGTTGTGTTTTCCTGGTTATGGTAAAAGTTATTTTGATCTATAAAAGGCCATAAATCAGTGGAAAAAGTCCATATCATCTCCACAAAGAAAACTCCAAAATTATGAATAATAGTGAGCCTGTAAAGTGTAATTCAAAGCGTGCATTGTTAGGAACTGGCAGGTGGAGCTGGATCTTTTGATGCATGTTCTGGTTGCATTGATTTCCATCTTTAATGAAACAGACCAAAAGACGAATGAATCGTTGTTGCTGTGCAGTCGTTGCTGAAACGGAATTCATAAATCATATTTGAGAATTACACCAAGTGCTGTTTGTGCAGTTGTGCCCTCTGATCATTTCATATCACGTTACACCGATAACATTTGGTGAATATGGCAGGTGGACTCTTTGTCCTACATGTGCCGCACACACACGACTCTGCTAATATGTCAGCAATGATCAGGTGTTGGACTGATGCTGGCCGGTTAGAGAGCTTTACCACATCACCCAGCCCGAAATTACAACCACATGAGACAACAAAAACAGTTATTTATCACATCTGAGGAGTCAGACCAAAGGACTGTTTGGATGTTTCACTTACACAACTTACAAAAATACGCATTTATTCATCATTTAAGTGCATGAACGTCAGAGATGGCAAAGTGCTCACATTCTTTACTGAAGCAGAGAAACTTGTGTAAAAATAGACTCTGGTCAAAGTAGCAGTACTGATTCAGCTCCTTTACTCAAGCAAAAGTAAAAAAGTACAGGTTCAGAAATTTACTTAAGTACAAAAGTTAAAATTAGTTTTTAGCTTCGATGATACACAATGCTTTTTTTATTTATTTTTTTGGCCTCTGTGCCTTTATTGGATAGTGTTAGTGAGAGAGAGACAGGAAAATAGGGCACAAGACATGTGGGAAAGGATCATGAGCGGGATTTGAACTCATGACCTCCACATTGGGATTGTAGCCCCGCACATGGGACACCAGCTCAACCAGGTGAGCTATAGTGGCACACTGCTTTTTTTTTGATGACCCTGCAAAATGAAAAAAGTTTTAAGCACACAAAATAGGATTGTTTTCATCCTTTAAGAAGCTGCACAGTGCTGCTACAGAGAAGAACATCACTGGACAGTTTTCCATTTCATGATCAACATTAAACATTATAATCAACGTGGAAACACTCGTCTCTTCAAGACTACCAACATCTTTCATTGAGACTCAGCAGAAGCTGGTTCTCAAAGTTCTTTGGATGAAGACGTTCCCTTTTGGGTCTGAAAATCAGTCCCGCAGTGCTAAAAAGCCTCGGACAGGCAGCTGAGGCCAGCAGGGCTGTGTTGAGCTTCACTGCAGGGAAAGATAAAGACGTTTATTGTTACGTCTTTTACGTCATGTCGTCATCAGCGGAGGTTTAAAACAAGTAACGAGCCAGTTTGGAGAATGTAAGGAGTAGGAAGTCCAGATATTTGTGTTCAAAAGTAAAAAGTCGTCAGAAAAGTTAATACTCAAGTAAAGTCGAGATACCTGCAGAATCTACTTAAGTACAGTAATGGAGTATTTGTACTTCGTTACTTCCCACCTCTGATGAACATACACATTTAATTCCATAGATAGATCAAATAGAGTTTCATTTGCATTACTGATTGCTGTTATCTGTGTATGTCCTTATGGATATTTCAAGTATTGCAATCAAATGTAACATAAAAGCAGTAACATCGACGGCCTGTTTTTGTGAATAATATGCCATCGACTTCTCTTAGTCAGTTGGTTAGCTCCCCCAGCTTTCAAGAAAACGAACTGTACACCTAGATTCCACAGAAAGGCCTCTCTGCTTCCATGCATGTGTGTGCTGCAGCTACAGACACAGAATGAATTGCTGCTTTTATCGCTTTCTGAGTCACATTAAAGGGAAAACAAATGAGGGCTCGATGATTGTGCTCTTGTGGTGTGCACTCAGCGGGTGTGTGTGGGTGTGTGTTTTCCCCTTTGCACAGACTAAACACAGAGTTGTTTGTTCCTGTCTCTCAGAGCAGCACTATCTGACGGAGCTGCAGAAGGTCGGCGTGGTCTCCTACACCCCCTCCAGGGAGGTCCAAGGCAAGCGGATCAGCTCGTATGACGACAGGTAAGACGGACTCTGGTTGTGCTGCTGCTTGGAAACGCCTGATATCAGTTAGTATCTGTGTGGCCACAAGAAACCTGCAGGTTAGATAAGTGGGTCAGCTTCTGGTTTCACTGAGCGTCTGTGCAAAGCAGAGGTTTATATTTTAAATCCTGTTTTTGTTCAAAGCAGAAGTCATGTGATTACAGCATGTACATTTGTAAAAAATGTGGTAGAAACTTCTGCATGACTGTGGAATATGCTGTTTCCAGCCAAATCATTCATGATGAAGATGACCGCTGTGACAAATGAAGAATTTTATCTTCTCTCCCTCGTTTCTCCAGACTAATACTGCAGCTGGCACAAAAGACGGGCGGAGTGATCGTCACCAACGACAACCTGAGAGACCTCTCAGATGAGTCTCCTGCGTGGAGGAACATCATCAAAAATAGGTCCTTCTCCATTTATTGAGAACTGTGGGAGGGGAGATCATGTACAGCCTAAATATTTGGTTAAAGAGATTGTTCACATCTACAGCTGTTCTGGTGAATGTTACTGCTTCTCTGTTTTCTGAGTTAGAAACTAATCAATGCTTTTGGACAGACTTGATGTGTTTTGTGTTCTCTGAGTTTCTGTTAAACAGCTTATTAGACTGTCTTGGCTCAGATCTCAGTGCCTGAGTGCCTGTGGGATCAGATAATATCATGATCTGGTTCTTGAAATTAGCAAGTAAATGTTTAAAACAACCTGCTCCAAGTCACTGTCTTTTTAATCTGCTGTTCTCTGCCTCGGTGTCGCTCAGGTTGTCAGGCCTCAGTCAAAGCACATCTTTTGCAGGCTAAGAGGGCAAAAAAAAGAGTTTCCCATAGTGCATTTCACCTTCCTGGTGTGATCAAATCAAGGTGCATTAATCAGTCATGTGTCTTGAAGATTGTGGCATCATGAAAAATGCACTCAGGTTGCATGTGGTCTAAAAAGGTTGCTTACAGTCCCAACAAGAACAAGAAAGCTTGAGTTTACTATAGTTATATCTACATTAAATTAGATATTTTCGAGAGCTGACTACTCTTGTTGCCTCCCCAGACTCCTGCAGTACACGTTTGTCGGAGATCACTTCATGGTTCCTGATGACCCTCTGGGCAGAGGAGGGCCTCACCTGGACGACTTCCTACGTTCAGAGCACAGGTGGGACTCTTTGTTGTAATGATCCTGTCATGGAGCGGGCCAGAGAGTCAAGCGTGGACGACAAAACACAGGAGACAGATCAAATAATGAATTAATTTACGATATGAAAATGTATAAACAAACATGGGCTACAATGTAACTAGGGCACACTGACTGACTGACTTTTCCAGAGGGAGACCAGGGGTCGGAGGTAAAAGTTTACAGAACCGGCTCTGGCTACAGAAGCTGAGGCAGGACAGAATGCTATACTAGAAATATCAGACGAAAGCTGGACATATTTTGTGAGGCAACGAACCAGGACTTGGCATCACCAAGCTGGGAAAGTTTATGTTTAAAGACAGAATCTATCACGGAACGGGTCTGAGACTCAAGCACAGAGCGACAGACAAGAATTATGCACCGTAAAATTTACAATATCAATAAACCACAGATTATACAGGGATTGAACAGGAAGTGAACGCACACAGGAAGTGATGTAACTAGGGAGCACAGGGGACGGACGACTCCCGAGGGAGACTTCAGGGTGGAAGTAGAATTACACATGAAGCACAAGTACAACGATGACTGAACAAAACTACAAACATGGCACGACATGGATCACTCAGTCAGGTGATTATCCAATCAGCGGCACGCCCACATGAGGGATGGTTGTCGCTACACAAACATTAATCATAATGCTCCACATTATACAATAATAATGAGATGTTGAAGAACATAATCACGTCACCCTTTGGAGATCATTTGGTTCCCAAAATTCTGAAGCCATTTGATGTAACTTGAGCAGTATCATGTCCAATAAACTCTTATTTCTGTGTGGTTCAGGTGAGGTAGGGTGCAGGACTAACACACAATGTAGGGGATTAATCCTGATAGGAAGACAAATTATTGATGCTATATGATTACTACTTTCAACCCTGAATTTATAAACTAGCAGACAGAAAAACATTAGATGCACATGGGTAGTAAATGTCCTGAGAAACGACGCAGGGTTCAGAGAGTCAGTTCTTTCCACAACACAAGATAAAATAAAATTGGAACTGTCAACAATTAGAGCATCAAATAAATATTTTCACAATGCTGTCTTTACACTGAATAAATGATCAAGAAACTAATTCTGTGCATGTTTCCTTTCAGAACTCCTCATCCAGGCAATCACACTTTTGCCGGTGTGCCCACAGCTTTCCCAACTTCCGAAGTGCCCCGCTCCCAGACGGAGGTCTTGAACTACCGAGACCGGGCAGTAGGAGGCGCTCTGGATGCATCGGGTGGACGAGGAGGCCGGGGTAGAGGGAGAGGACACCAGAGGGGCTGGGAGCCGGGACACCAGCACAGGCAGCATGTAGCTGCAGGTGCTGCTGTGGACAGGAGTCCAGAGGAAACAGCGGCGCTGAGAGAGCAGCTCTGTCAGGTTTTCCCTGGTCAGGACAACATGGTGACTCTGGTGCTGCAGTGTCACCCGGCAGAGACGGACATCAATGTGCTGTCCGATCTGATCCTGGAGCAGCAAAAGGACTAGAAATACGTGAGCTTTAGGGTTAATGCAGACTTTTCTTGCTGAAGTTTGTCATAGTTTTGTTGATTTATTCATGCTTCCTATCAAACTACATACAAACACTGATCCAGTCATGGGGCTGCAGGGTGGCGCAGTTGGTTAGCACCGTCACCTCACAGCAAGAAGGTCGCCAGTTTGCATCCTGGTGGGGGCACTGGGATCTTTCTGCGTGGAGTCTCCATGTTCTCCCCGTGCAGCGTGGGTTCTCTCCGGGTTCTCCGGCTTCCTCCCACAGTCCA